GGAAGCATTGCCTTTGAAAACTGGCACAAGACAGGGATACCCTCTCTCACCACTCCTAGTCAACATAGTGTTGGAAGTTCTGGCTAAGGCAATCAGGCAAGAGAAAGAAATAAAGGGTATTCAGTTAGGAAAAGAAGAAGTCAAATTGTCCCTGTTTGCAGATGACATGATTGTATATTTAGAAAACCCCATTGTCTCAGCCCAAAATCTCCTTAAGCTGATAAGCAACTTCAGCAAAGTCTCAGGATACAAAATCAATGTGGAAAAATCACAAGCATTCTTATACACCAGTAACAGACAAACAGAGAGCCAAATCATGAATGAACTACCATTCACAATAGCTTCAAAGAAAATAAAATACCTAGGAATCAAACTTACAAGGGATGTGAAGGACCTCTTCAAGGAGAACTACGAACCACTGTTCAGTGAAATAATAGAGGACACAAACAAGTGGAAGAACATACCATGCTCGTGGATACCAAGAATCAATATTGTGAAAATGGCCATACTGCCCAAGGTAATTTATAGATTCAATGCCATCCCCATCAAGCTACCAATGACTTTCTTCACAGAATTGGAAAAAACTGCTTTAAAGTTCATATGGAACCAAAAAAGAGCCTGCATTGCCAAGACAATCCTAAGTCAAAAGAACAAAGCTGGAGGCATCACGCTACCTGACTTCAAACTATACTACAAGGCTACAGTAACCAAAACAGCATGGTACTGGTACCAAAACAGAGATATAGACTAATGGAACAGAACAGAGCCCTCAGAAATAATACCACACATCTACAGCCATCTGATCTTTGACAAACCTGACAAAAACAAGAAATGGGGAAAGGATTCCCTGTTTAATAAATGGTGCTGGGAAAATTGGTTAGCCATAAGTAGAAAGCTGAAACTGGATCCTTTCCTTACTCCTTATATGAAAATTAATTCAAGATGGATTAGAGACTTAAACGTTAGACCTAAAACCATAAAAACCCTAGAAGAAAACTTAGGTAATACCATTCAGAACATAGGCATGGGTAAGAGCTTCACGTCTAAAACACCAAAAGCAACGGCAACAAAAGCCAAAATTGACAAATGGGATCTAATTAAACTAAAGAGCTTCTGCACAGCAAAAGAAATTACCATCAGAGTGAACAGGCAACCTACAGAATGGGAGAAAATTTTTGCAATCTATTCATCTGACAAAGGGCTAATATCCAGAACCTGCAAAGAACTCAATCAAATTTACAAGAAAAAAACAACCCCATCAAAAAGTGGGCAAAGGTTATATGAACAGACACTTCTCAAAAGAAGACATTCATACAGCCAACAGACACATGAAAAAATGCTCATCATCACTCGCCGTCAGAGAAATGCAAATCAAAACCACAATGAAATACCATCTCACACCAGTTAGAATGGCGATCATTAAAAAATCAGGAAACAACAGGTGCTGGAGAGGATGTGGAGAAATAAGAACACTTTTACACTGTTGGTGGGACTGTAAACTAGTTCAACCATTGTGGAAGACAGTGTGGCAATTTCTCAAGGATCTAGAACTAGAAATACCATTTGACCCAGCCATCCCATTCCTGGGTGTATACCCAAGGGATTATAAGTCATGCTGCTATAAAGACACATGCACACATATGTTTACTGTGGCACTATTCACAATAGCAAAGACTTGGAATCAACCCAAATGTCCATGAGTAACAGACTGGATTAAGAAAATGTGGCACATATACATGACGGAATACTATGCAGCCATGAAAAAGGATGAGTTCGTGTCCTTTGTAGGGACATGGATGCAGCTGGAAACCATCATTCTCAGCAAACTATCGCAAGAACAGAAAACCAAATACCACATGTTCTCACTCATAGGTGGGAAATGAACAATGAGATCACTTGGACACAGGAAGGGGAACATCACACACCGGGTCCCATTGTGGGGAGGGGATAGGGGGGCGGGATAGCATTAGGAGATATACCTAATGTAAATGACGAGTTAATGGGTGCAGCACACAAACATGGCACATGTATACATATGTAACAAACCTGCACGTTGTGCACATGTACCCTAGAACTTAAAGTATAATAACAAAAAAAGAAAGAAATGTAAAAGTAATCATTTATTTTTGGTTTGATTCTAAAAGTAGTATATACTCACTATGGAAAATATAGAAAATACAGAAAGATGTGAAAATAATAGTATCCATAATCCCATCACCCAAACACATTCTTGCTGATTCATGAGAGCAGGACCTTGTGTTTAATATCTGCTGTCACATCCTCAGTACTTGGAACAGTGCCTGGTACAGAGTAAGCGCTTAATGGACATTTGTTGAATGAATGAGTGTCACTGTTTTGGTATATTTATTTCCAGCCCCTTTCCCATGTATATTTTACATGATTGTAGTCAGTCGTCATCATCATTACAGAGTATCTTTTTTTTTTAACGTACTTTGATAACACAGGTATATCTATGTCACAACTCTTTACATTTTTTTTTTTTTTTTTGAGACTGAGTCTCGCTCTTTCACCCAGGCAGATCCATACAGTGGCAGGATCTTGGTTCACTGCAACCTCTGCCTCCCAGGTTTATGCGATTCTCCTGCCTCAGCCTCACAAGTAGCTGTGACTACAGGTGCATACCACCATGCTAGCTAGTTTTTTTATATTTTTAGTGGAGACGGGGTGGTTTTTGCCATGTTGGCCAGGGTGGTCTTGAACTCCTTGAACTCCTGAGCTCCAGTGATCCCCCCACTTTGGTCTCCCAAAGTGTGGGGATTACAGGTGTAAGCCACCATGTCCGGCCTGTTTACAAACATTTTTAAAGGTGCTTAGTATTGCATGTATTGTGTATACATCATTTACTTATTTATGCTCATGTGGCTAGATATTTGAGATAAAATATCCATTTCAAAGATCCTTTGCACATAAGGCTTGCTACCCATGGATAAGTAGACCAACTGACTGTTTTACCAGGCTTCCTTATGCTCAATGGACCCTAAAATGTTAAAATCACATTCTATTTTTTACTTTCATAGTCTCACTGGATTGCATAAAGAAGTGAAAATAATGCCAGAGGGAGGTCATGAAATCAGAATCAGGACATTAACTTGTCAATCTATTGTAACTAAGAAATATCTTTTGAATATTGTGTTTTATGAAGCATTGAATTCAGAGAACTAGTCATTATGCTAAATTCTGACAACACAGAATCTCAAGAATTCAACTGAACTCAACTACTTTCTATATAGTCACTGCTTTCTCCCCTTTAAAAGAATTCCCTGGTTAGCCTGGTTAGAGAAGGTAATTTTGTCCAAGTTAATGTAGCACCATCTGCTGCTGAAAAGGAGTCCTTCAGGATGAGTTCTCTAGTTTTAAACATTGACTTGCATAAGCAATAAAAGGGAATTCACATGTGGTTTCTTGCAGGATCCCCTTGTGTCAGAACTGGAAACAATCTTTTTCAAAAACACTGAGTGGACTTCTGGCTCCAGATGGCGACAGAGTACACTTGATTAACTCCTCCAACTGTTAGAAAGTTCTATCAAAATTCACAAGGAATATACAAATAGGGAGAAATGCATGTCAGAAACAGGAAACCATGGAAAAGGGCCCACACATTCTGAAACTCATGAGAACTTTCTGCACGACAAAGTGCAGGTGAGATTGGATTGAGGGAAGGGCTCATTAGCCTGCCATTGACCACATAAGACAGAAAAGCCAAGGGAATGAGGGAGACAGATTCCAGCAGAGCCCCTCAATACCTACCAGCTCACAGTGGCAGGGGCTGGAGCTGAGGGTGGGTTATTTGGGACATAGCAAGAGGCAAGCATAGATCCTCCCTCTGCTCTGGAAAATGCACCAGGTGCTGGGGTCTGCAAACCCTTGGCACATGAAATTAACCAGGCATTGCTAAGCCTGGCTTCTAAGAAACGCAGTTAAGTCAGTTAGGATAGAGTTATAATAGAGCATCCATGTCTCCAACAAACTGTACCCTGAATCACTAAGTCCCAGAAAGCATTTAAGCCATCTAGTTTCCAGGCTGAGTAACCAATATCCAAAGATTCTATACCCAGCCAATCATTCACATTTGACAACCACAGAAAGACATTCCTAGCCATGCAGATATTCAGAGAGCTTTCCTGAAAGAAACTACACACACACAGACACACACACACAGACGCACACACACAGCATGTGCACACACATGCAAGAATTATGGTAGAGTAATAAAACCAATATAAATCAAGAATTAAGTGAAGATCATTGTGGCTAACAAAGTTACAAAATGGAATAATCAGAAAACGGCTTCAGGAAGAGAAATAAAGTAATTAATACCATCATCCTCATTATCAGTTTCTATCCCTATACCCATCCCTAAAATCTCAGGATGAGGAGAGGGAAGAAAGTAAAAGTTGTCTCAAAATCTCTTCTTAGATGAGGGAGAGTCATATTTTCTGTTTCCTTACTGACCCTGGTATGGCAATGAGTCCAAGTATGTTGTTTAATATACTGCTTACATACTCAATACTATAAAATATTTTTCTAAATTATTAGTATAAAAAGAGAGCAAAGAAAATTTGATTGGCTGGACGTGATGACTCATGCCTGTAATCCTTACACTTTGGGGGGCTGAGTTGGGAGGATCACTTGAGCCCAGAAGTTTGAGATCAGCCTGGGCAACATCATGAAACCCCGTCTCTATAAAACAAATACAAAAACTAGCTGAGCATGCTAGTATGCATCTGTAGTAACAGGTACTCAGGAGGCTGAGTGGGAGGATCTCTGGAGCCCAGGAGGTCGAGGCTGCAATGAGCCAAGATCATACCATCGCACTCCAGCCAGGCAACAGAGCACCACCCTGTCCTGTCCTGCTCTCTCTCTCTCTCTCTCTTTCTTTCTCTCCATATATATATATTTGTGCATATACACACACAGCATGTGCGCACACACACACAAGGATTATGGTAGTGAGTAATAAAACCAATATAACTCAAGAATTAAGTCAAGATCATTGTTGATAACAAAGATATATAATAGAATAACAATCAATCAGAAAACTGTTTCAGAAAGATAAAATAATTAATACCATCATCCTCATTATTAGCCCATATCCCTACACCCATCCCTAAAATTCCAGGATGAGGACAGATATATAAATATATATATATACACACACATATATATATAGTAAAATCATAATACCCTTAATAATGCATGGATAGTTCAATATTAAGAAATCCATTTATATAACATATAACATTCATTCAACAAGTATTTGTAAGTGCCTATTATGTGCCAGGTATGGCAGAACAATGTAACTTGCTTGATCCTTCTCTCTCAAACACACCTGCCAGGCTACCTATCCACATCACTCTCTAGTTCTTTTCTTCAGAGCACTTATCATTCTCTGTAATTATCTTTCACCTTTACTTTGCTTGTTTATTGTCAGTCATCTTTCACTAAAATGCATTTTCCCCAAGATCAACATCCTTGTCTGTCTTGGTCACAACTGTATGCACAATGTCTAACAAAGAACTTGACATGTAATAGCTCATGGAGTCATTCAATTTGTGTCGTATTAGTTTATTATTAATGTAATTTATTAATTCAATATTTGTAATTGAACAAATGAATGTATGTCTATGAGTGAAAGGATGATGGTGATTCTAAATCCCGGCTCTTATGGTGCTTATCATGTAGTAGGGGAGACAGACAATCTGAGTACTTCTATGATCAGTGTCAAAATCCAATTTTGCTGAGCAGTTTTCTATTCTAACTTGCTGAATAAAAAGACGGCAATTGTTTTGCAGGAATCTTCCACAGCTTCCTCTCGAGAAAAGCCTGGAAAACTAGAAGCACAAAGTAGTAACTTCCTGTTTCCTAAAGCCTGCCACCAAAGGGCACGCAGCAACTCAACCAGTAAGTGTCTCCCCAACACGTCTTCAGGAACAGGGTTCAGCTGCTCCTGGATAGCAGGAATATCAGGAGGAGGGTGGAACTCTTCTGGTCCAAGTGGACTAAACTGGCATTGGAGTCTGCTCACTTTCTTCATGGTGTGTGCATGCTCTGGCTAGCCAGAGCTCTGTGTGGTCTAGCCAGCTCTCCTCTTGGCTCCAAGTACCATGCTGGAAAGACCTGGGTGTGGGGAAGAAGAGACTGGGCTTTACTCCTGCTCTGTCTCCTGACATGCTCCTTGGTCTTGGGAAGGCTTCTGTCTCTCAGCTGCAATATGATGGAGGTTGAGGTTGGAAGATCTCATGATTTTTATTTGCTGAAAATAGAAGAGTGCTAATACAAAGTCAAGAAAATATGAAGAATGCAAGAATATAGAAAAACCTGAAGAAATTAAAATCACACCAAATCCTAATATTAGAGATCATCTATGTTAACATATTCAGTTATTTCCCTTCTATGCTTATATATACTATAAAAAACTTCACACACACACATTTATTTATATATAACTATTTCATGTCATCAGAAACTCTTTTGAAAACACCATTTTTTAGTGGATCCATGGTATTTTATTGTATGAATTTATGAAATCTAGTTAACCAACTCCCTATTATTAGATATTTATAAAATCTACTTAACCAAATCCCTGTTATTAGGTATTTAAGTCATTGTCAGGTTTTCACTAGCCTAATCAAGTTGATGAATGTGTACATGAGATTTTGTCTGAGTTTGTGATGATCTTTCAAAGAAAATACAGAAGGCAGTGGCCTGGTTAAGAGCTCACATTTGGGAGCTAAGGCAGTTGGATCTGGGTCCTGCTTCCAGAACTAGTGACCTATGTGGTCTTGGGCAAGTCCCTTAGAATCTCTAAGTCTCATATTATTCTGCTGTACGATGCACCATCCTTAGTGATTTCCTAGTTTTGGAAATAAAAATATTTTTAAAAAGTTACTTGCTTTTTAATCATAAATTTTTACTTATTCTAGCATAATTTTCTAGAAATGGAATTTGGGGTCAAACGGTAGATGTAGTTTAAGGCTTTTTATCTGTATTGCCAAATTTCTGTAGCTACTATTCTTTCAATAATGTACATGAATACCTATTTCTTCAATCACAGCCAACATAGGATTATGATTTTTAATAAATATTTGCTTTACAGTGATTTACAGATTTACAGGTATTTCTCCTTTCCCTTTCTTCCTCACCCATTCTTTGCTTTTTTACTGTTTTGTTTTGCACCCAAGACCAGCTATACAATTGGTAGGGCTCAGTGTAAAATGAAAATGCAGGATTGCTGTTAAAAAATATGAATCGTTTCAAAAAAGTAGAAGAAAATCTTTGAACTAAGTTGGGATTCTTCAATCACAGGGCCCCAGGTGACTGTGCAGGCCACGTGCCCCTGAAGCCAGGCCCACTTGCCCCCCGGGAGCTGACCCCCTTAGAGCTCCCTGGCTCCCTGGCATCCCCAGGGCTCCCTGGTTTTCTGGCTTCTGATTGAGCTCAGTCAATGACAGGCATCCATGGAGGACTGGCAGGGGGCAGACAGCCACCAGGGTGTTTCTTCCCCTGCTCCCCCTACCTTGGTGCTGTGACAATAAATTGTGTCAGGGTGGCCTGTCGGTTCCAGTGCCCACCGGGCTCTGGTAACACCATTTCCCCACCTTACTCCTTCAAGCCTGGGGTGGTAACAGCATCTGGTACCTCAATAGGCCTTTGTTATTTTTCTAACCCTTCCCGTCCCTCTGTGTCTGGCTCCTTTACCCAATTCTCAGAATCCCAACTGAGTGTGCCTTTTGTTTCTTCCCAAACCCTGATTGATGCACTGATAAAAATAGATGAACAAAAAGTACCTAGGCTGGGTGCCACAGCTTATGCCTGTAATTCTAGCCCTTTGGGAGGACAAGGCGGGAGGATCGCTTGAACCCAGGAGTTTGAGATCAGCCTGGACAATATAGTGAGACCACACCTCTACAAAATTTTTTTTTAAAAGAGAAAACCCACCAGGCATGATGGCTCATACCTGAGGTCCCAGCTACTCGGGAGGCTGAGGTAGGAGGATCCCTTGAGCACGGGAGGTTGAGGCTGCAGTGAGCCATGATTGTGTCACTGCACTCTGGTCTGGACAACAGAGTGAGAGCCTGTCCTGCCCTCCTAAAAGAGTACCTCTTCATAAAGGTGAAGTTAAACATTCCTTCATTTATTTATTTTGTTTTTGGTGAGTTTGCCGGTTCTTTATTGGAATAATCATCTTTTATCATTAATTTATAAAAAGCCTCTTGGTTAAATTAATATTTGGCATCATACTTGTTGAAAATACTTTCTCCAGTTTGTTGTTTTATTTTAATTTTTTAACATTAAGGTTTTAATCTTTATGTAATCAAGTTTCCTGATCTTTTCTTTTCTAATGTGAAAGTTACTTCCACATTCAGATAACTATTAAGTCTATGATTATATATTCTTCTAATTTGTAAATGATTTATCTTTTTTCCCTCAAATTTACTGTATTATCTGTAATTTATTTTTGGTGTTTAATATGATGTAAGAATCTAGGTAGATTTTTTTTTCTAAATGAATAGAGAATGATCCTAGCATCACTTACTTATAATCAGTTCTTTTTACTTTGCCTTTTTTGTTTGCTTTGTTAATCTCATGCAAATGATATGCAGTTAGGTCCTTGAAAGCAAATTTGGCAATTTTTTTAAGAAGAGAAGCTCGAGGCCAGGCAAGGCGGCTCACACCTGTAATCTCAGCACTTTGGGAGGCCTAGGTGGACAGGTCACCTGAAGTCAGGAGTTCGAGACCAGCCTGACCAACATGGAGAAACCCTGTCTCTACTGAAAATACAAAATTAGTCGGGCGTGGTGGCACATGCCTGAATCCCAGCTACTCAGGAGGCCGAGGCAGGAGAATCACTTAAACCTGGGAGGCAGAGGTTGTGGTGAGCCGAGATTGTCCAACTGCACTCTAGCCTGGGCAACAAGAGTGAAACTCTGTTTTAAAAAAAGAAAAGACGCTCAGATAGTTGAAATCAGTGCTGTAGATCATATTTATTTTTACTTACCTCTTTTTATGCTTTTTATTTTGATGGTTCCTTGTCATTTGTTTGTTCTTGGCCTCTTGCTATAATGATTATGAAAAGTTTAGTTAATTTTTGTCTCTACTTCTGATTTCCTTTAAGTTTTAATTAATTACCCAATTAAGTTGTATCAATTAATTAATACCTGACAAAACATTTTCCAAATTGTCCCCCTCATGAAAGATGAGGAAGTTAGGTTGGTATTATTCATCCCTTTTCCATGGATTTTTCCATTTTGTAATTCAACATAACTTTAAATTATAAACTCATGACAATATATAGCTCTAAATACAGCTTTTTTGTATATAATCATGACCATATATAGCTCCCCTTTCAAAAACTATTTTGCTTTGTTTTTTGCATTAGGTTGTAATAACCGCTTTTCAATTAACTCACTCAACACTCTACACTTAACTGGTTTAAACTTCCCTCAATAGAGATGATAATTTTGTTACATTTCCTAGTTGGCTGGAATGCATCAACAAGCAATGTTCAGAAACAGTGGGCAGAAGTGGGCACTGAAATCGACCCCAGACCAGGGAGAGTTTTGGGGAACCCACTCTGTCCTGAGTCTGGCCCACATTCCCACAGATCTGAATGCCTAGTGGGAACTGGAGCCTCCACACAAGTGGAGCTGGGTGTGGCCTGAGCAGTTGCACTGGGCTCTCCCGTGGCTCTGAGGTCAGGTTGATCTGCTTTGTGAACCATTCCAAGTTGGCAGCCTGTTTGTTCATCCTCATTCCCTCTGAACCCAAACCATGCACCACAGCTCACCTTCAAGTCACAGGTCACTCCTGCACTGCTGTGGATGGAGGAAGTGCAAGGAGACTGGGATTCTGGAGGCCGGAATCTTCAGATTCTTTCTTCACTGATCTGGAACCCTCTGGGCTTCCATTTCCTCACTGATAGAGGAAGGAGTAACTCCAGCAGGGTTCCCAAAGGACAAATGATGAGCCGCCTGCATCACCTGCACAGGTTGACGAACATACAGGTTTCCCCAGACCCGACCCATGAAGATATGGATCAATAGGTTGGGTGGAGCACTGAAATCTACCTTTGGGTTAAACACTCCAGATAAATACAATGCACAGGCAGAGTTAGGACTAGAGGATCTCTAGCCTCTCCTCTCAACCCCCTTTCTTGATTCTGAATCGTCTCCTTGCAGCGTGTGGTTTTCTGAATCTTTTGGCTTCCTCTCCCTCCTGGTCCATCGGGGAGGATCTGGGAGCAACTGGTCCCTGTAACTCAGAGAGGGCCACCTACTCAGAGAGGGTCACCTACAGTTGAGGCAGCTGCTGGGAGCAGCTGTTCTTGCAGGGGCAGATTTCCCTAGCCACTCTCGGACCCAGATGGACTAAAACCTCTCCCTTCTTCACCTTGTCTTTCTTCCTTTCCTCATCCCCCTTTAGGGATCTCACACCCTCAGGGATGCCACTCCTCTTTTCTTCTCAAGCTTCCCTGGCCAGTGGCTTCCTCTCTTCAGCCTATAAATAAGCTTAAGTCTTTCCCATCCTGAAAATAAAAGCAAACCCAACCCTGCTCCATCCTGTGTTTCCTTTGAACTACCACCAATCTTAACTTTTCCTCTAGGGGAATTTTTCACAAAAGCCTGTCCGTTCACTCAAGCCTCCCTTGTCGCTCAGGACACTGGGCAAACCCCGCCCCTCTCCTGGCCTCTAGAGCGGAACTGCCCAATTAGCCACATGTAGTCTTGAGCACTTGACATGTGACTTATTCAAATAGAGACGTACCAAAAGTATCAAAGACCCACTGGATTCAAAGACTAAGTGCAAGAAGAAAAGGATGTAAAATATCTCACTAATAATTTTACATATTATTTCTATGTTGAAAGAACAATAGTTTAGATATAACAGACCAAATAAAATATATTATTAAAATTACTCTCTCCTGTTTCTTTTCACTTTTCAAATGTGGCTACTAGGAAATTTTTTAATTACATAGGTGGCTGACATTATATTTCAATTGGGAAGCACTGTTGTAGACAATGACACATTAAATCAGATCGTCTGTGAAGGTTTTCCCAGCTGGATGTGGTAGGGTAGAGAAGTAGGGTAGAGTTCCCGGTTGGATGAAAGGAAGTCTGTGGTTTCCACAAAGTAGAGGAAGCCTGCCGCTTTGCATTTTTGCAGATATCCAAAGAATCAAGAGTTGTCTCCATGTGTGTATATCCCTGTGTGTGAGTGCCTGTGTAAGAGGCAGTCAGATAGGATCGCCCCTGCCCCTGTTCCTGCCGGGTCTCGCCTGTTTGTTCCTGTCCTGGGAAACCTTTGTGTTTTCCTCCTTTCTCTCCTCTCCTTGCTTGGGATTGAAAACATCGGGGCCTGGATCTGATGCAGCATTGTGGTTTCTGAGAGCTCAGCACACTGATTGACTTGCAGGAGATGCCTGTCAACTCTCCTTGCACTGAATGGAGGAAATGGAAGTCAGAGTTCTGTCTGCACCCTGCAGTACAGACAGCATGCGTGGAGATCATGAAAATGCTGCTCATGTCTTCCACGGCCACCTCTCCCCACCACGCACCTGGCACAGGGTGCTAAGTGGTTTACAGTCACACTGGCCCCTGGCTAATGAGGGGCTGGCAGTTGGTGGGGGCTGATATTGTTCTCAGTTGAACTTTGCATTTTGAGAGCACAAATGACTCCTTGCTGTTTTTCCTCTTCTGGTTTAGGTGTTAATCCCTATTGCACAAGAGAAATTGATTTTCCAATGACCAAGAAATCTGCAGCGTCCACAGACAGGCAGCCTTATTCTCTCTGTAGTAACAGGAAGTCCCTCTCTCAACAACTGGACTGTCCAGCAGGAAAGGCTGCGGTAAGAATACAAGGAGGGAAACTCGGAGAAGACGGGGAGAAGGGAGGGGCCCAACATTAACAGTGGCTGAAGAGGCCTTCCCAGTAATTTTTTGTCCGCAGAACTACAGAGGAGAGGGTCTGGCTTGGTAGCTACAAGAAGGTACAACCATCTCTGGGCCGAGAACCGCGTTAGAAATAGTCATCCATTGAGCGCCCCCTTGTGCCAGGCACTTGCAACTGCTGCCACGTGTGTGCTATTAAGAGCTAACACGTAGAGAACACGGCACGTGGGGGGACCCTGAACTATGGCTTTGCGTGGATCGCTTTATTTCATCTGCACATACTCCTAAGAGGTAGAAGAGGGAGCTACAGCTTGGACAAGTTAAGGGATTTATGTACGTTCACATTGTTGAGGAAAAACAGGGCTGGGACTTCAAGTCTGATCTTTACGACTCTGAAGCCTATGCAAAGAGGCTTTTCACTCCTGTAATACAGTGACTTGCTTTGCCAACACTGACGCTAATTCTTAAAACAAGCTTAGAAAGGAATATGTTGTTGGCCCCATTTTATAGTAGGACACTGAGGCTTGGCAAGGTGAGCAGCTGAGTTTATGCATCTTAAAACCTATGGGACCAGAATTTAAACTGCCCTGTGTGCTCCTCAGTCCATGACCTTCCCACTACAGGTGTCAGCTTGCAGGCAGAGAGCTAAGCAGGTATAAAGCACAGTGTACCCTACACACGTCCCCCGCAGCTTGCCTTTCAGCCCCAGCCAAAGCACGCTGTGCTGCACCCTGCCACTTTTGGTCACACAGCGCCCTCTGTCTGTAGCATCTCACCCCTCCTTCTCTGATCTCTATTTCTAGAAACTGCCCCAGCCTTCAAAAATCTTCCTAAGGTTCCCTTTCTCCTGGGAACGCTCCTGATCCCTCCAAAGGCGTGGACTTCACATTTTCCCAAATGCCCATCAGGAGGCAGCTGCACTCCTCTCACAGTGCTCGCGCAGCCTGTCTTGTGAGTGTCATTTATGTTAGCATTTCATCTCACCCACTGACTCTCCCGAGCGGGGGCTCTATGGTTGAGCAATGTTTCCCTGCATAGTACATAATAGATGCTCAGTGAATTTCATTTCTCTCTTTCCTTCCTTTCCTTGAGTCAATATGTTTTTCATTCCCAAACTGGGAGTGTGGTGTCCCAGTGTTAGAAGAAGATGGTTCCCTGGTGCCACCCTGAGCTGAGAACTTTCCCAGTCCCTGGTTTTCTGCACATCTGGGGTCATACAGGAGTACACTGGAGCCCTCCAATATCTGCAGCCAGCGCTGGGTCCCTGAGGATTGGGCCAGCGGGTACTTCCTGGGGGAAGCTGCCTCCTGTCTTTGCTGCCTCATGCACTAGGATCCAGGTCCTTGGGAACAGGAAGCCTACCTGGCCGGCAGGGATGGGCTAAATGTCAGCCAGTAGTAGCTGCCTGGAAGGCTGTGTTGAAAAGAATTGAAGCTCTGCTTCTCATTCACAAATAGTTAACTGCCTGTCTGCCTACCCCAAAATTACATTCTGAGTTTTGAAGTCTTTGGGTTCTGCCCCCTTGCCCACCACCTTCTGCCTGGCACAAGGGGAGTTCTCAGTAAAGGTGTCTTGGATTGAACATCGTCTCAGGGCATTCTTGGTAGCTGGCTTCCCAGATTCTGCCTGAGACATCAGTTATGAGGACTTGTCCTGGAGGCAGCGTGTTCTGTGACATTAACCTGGGCCTACTTCCTTGACAAACGTTGGTGAGCCTTTTGGCTGCTCATCTACATTAGGCTCAGCAAAACAGGCTCCTAGAACCAAGGAAGTCCCTCGCCACCAGAATCCTGCCCACACCCCACTAACCACATTCTGGTCATTATGCTGCCTGCCCTTAGAAGAAAGAGGACTTGGTTCCTCTCTTTGGCTGGGCTTTTCCCCTTCCTGGTGAGGCGGGTGCTACTGTCCTATGTGGCTGATCTTCTGCCCACTCTGGTTCCTTGTTGCAGGGAACTTCAAGGCCAACACGGTCCCTGAGCACAGCTCAGCTCGTGCAGCCATCTGGGGGCCTCCAGGCTTCAGTCATCTCCAACATCGTGCTGATGAAGGGCCAGGCTAAGGTGAGAAGGGATTGTGGCCAACAAGAAGTCCTGGGGAGCGGCAGCAGTCTCCAAGGAGCTGCTGTGTCCAGGAAAGGATGGGAATAGGACTACTGGGGTGTCCTGGCACATCAGAAGAGACAAACACAGAGCGGCTAGTCTTTCAAAACTCACAACTGGCTGAGTTCAAGCAGCACACATTTTTCTAACTAGACAAAGTGATCATTTTCTTGTAAAGGATGCCAGTCCCTGCCAGCTGCCTTAGCACTTTCAAAGCTTGTTCTCTAATTCATTCCTGGCACAAGTTTCCAAGACTTAATTTTATCTGATACATAAATCCAAATTGTTTACATAGATTTCTGAATCCTGAGTTTGCCTCTGCCATTCAGATGTTGGCATAATAAAGCAGGGACCCATATATTAATTTATAAAAACATATGCTACCTATTACATGTGGAAAATTCAGTGGTTGATAGTGCTTTTGGCTGTCAATTGGAGCCTCCAGAAGAGTCAGAACTAACTCTACCTCTCTCAAGATGATGAAGCATCGTACTGATCTCTGCTTCACAATTGAGATATGCCCAAAGGGGATCCGAAAGCATTGGTGGTGGTGGTGAGGTAGGGGGTGTACACATGTTTGCACTGCTCCCAGAACATGCCACCCTGTGCTTGAGGTTGACTGCGAAGTTCTCAGGCCAGCCCGAGCAGCCCAGGTGCTAAAATAATGAAAGGGCGGTTTCTTTATGTAATATATTTTTTGTGTGTGGTATGAGGGGAGGACCTAATTGCTACTTACGGTCTGTCCACTGGGAGGGGCCCCACCACACACCTCCAGTCCTCTTTCCCTCCATCTCCTGTTCCTTCTGTCTCCTGGGAGCTTAGCAGGAAATAAAACAGAAGACAGACATGAGAGATGCTGGGATGAATGCTCCTCTCATCACAAGGGAGTAGCTGTCTTCTATGCTGACTTTCTCTGAACGACCCCATTTTCTGGTTAGTAAATCACAATGCTTTTTCCCCTTGAATTTAGGTAGAAGTAATTTTTTTAAAATTGACTTTTAAATTGTTTGCAGTGCCCAAAAGAAGGTGAAATGGTAAAGGCCACCAAAACTCATGCAAAGATGACCAAAAATGGTTTAAGTTATCTTGGTGTGCACAAAATGTGCATTCCATGAGTAATTTTTATGAGGCCGGGGGATGGAAGAAGATGAATCATTTGATATAGACATCCTCATGTACAGAGCAGGGATGATAAGTTCAGAAATAAAGCAGGCTTCCCACTATCTGGCGATACAACCTACACCCCAAGATCTCGTCACTAACAGGATGACAAGTAGCAGTGAAGCAGGGGGAGGAGGATTTAGAGCCAGAAGAATCAGCAAGTGCTTGAGGTAGAGTCAAAAGCAAATCACACAATAAAACCAACCACCGAAACCCGGGCATTGTGCTGTGGGCTTTGCAATGGTAATTCCTTTAATCCCCACAACAACCCTCCTATTATCTCCTTTTATAGACGTGGAGCCGGGTGCACTGGCTCACGCCTGTAGTCCCAGCACTTTGGGAGGCCTTCTGTTTGAGTCCTGGAGTTGGAGACCAGCCTGGGTAATAGAGTAAGACCCTGTCTCTACAAAAATAAAATAAAGTAAAATAAAATAAAATAAAAATTAACCCAGTGTGGTGGCACATGTCTATAGTCCCAGCTGCCCAGGAGGCTGAAGTGAGAGGATTGCTTGAGTCCAGGAATTCGAGGCCACAGTGAGCTGTGATATAGCCACTGCACTCCAGTCTGGGCAGTAGAGGGAGACGCGATCTCTAATGAATATCTATGTGTATATTTTGTATATCGATATGGAGATGGAGGACCTGGGAGATTGCAGGGCTCGTCCAAGTTTACTTGGTTAGTGAGCAGCTGAACCAAGGCAATGACCCCAGGCTGCCTGACCCCTGGGCCTTGTTCTTAACCATGATGCCATCCTGGGTCCCTAGGGTGGGTGAGACTTTGAGTCTAGAGCAGCTGTCTCAGCCAGGATGAGGCTAGGGGCCCATAGAGGAGCCCTGAAGTGGCTCCTACCTCACCTTTTCCTAAACCTGTGCTACTCCCAGACACCATTTGTCCTGCCCATCCTGGAACACACACCACCTTCACCAGAGGCTTAGAATAGCTGCACATCCCCACAGCTCTCCCACTGACTCCCTACAGTGTCAAGAAGATGGCGGACAGCCTGCTGTCTCTGTGGCACGTGTTGATGCTCCTAATTAGCAGAGCGGCTATAGCCTAGAGTAAATTGCCCATGAGCAATGGGCCTGTTACAGCAGTGGCCATCACTTTAAAGGGTCTGTCTAGGAGCCAAGCTACTGGCCACTGCCTGGCGTGCTTGTAGGTTGGACCCCAAAACCTGGCCTCCAGGTGGCAGTTATGCCTTTATCCTGTAATACGTGCTTCTTGAGCACCTGCCTGATGCCAGACACAGAAATAAGATGCATTTACTGTCTTCAGAGAGCTTATAGTCTAGAAAGCTGCTTATTAGACTCAAGCTATGCCCTTGAGGGCAGCATGGGGTACCTTAGTCCTCAAAAAAATTGAGAAAGCCATATGCATTTCCTATGCTGCTTTTCAGGTCTGCCAGGCTGTTCTGTGAACTCACTGGCAGATTTGCAGGGGAAGCTGTGCCCACCCTCCCTTCTCTTCCTGCTGTAGAGCTCACTCAACCTTTCCCTGGACTTCTTCCTGTCTGGCCTTCTCTCTACTGCCTCCTGGCTTCTCCCCAGCTGGGACTATCTGCTGAGCTATGAGTTTCTCCTCCCAGGGTCACCGGCACAATCCCAGCATATGTTTGTTGGCTCATGGGAATCACCTAGGACAATGGCAGATAGAGCAGGTGCAGGAGAGAGCGCACATGATTGGAGGGATGTCCATGAGAAGGGGATTGAAGAGGCCTTTGGTAGGAGAAGGGATACCCTTGTAAAGCTGCTACTATTATTACTCTCGTTGATATTTTTATGATTGTTGCTAGGTATTTTACTTTCAAACACAACCCTGTGAATTAGGTAATATTATCATTATTTTAAAAGGAGGGAAATTGAGGCTCAGAAGCAGAAAGTGATTGGCCCAGGATTGCCAACTGGAGGGACAGAGCCAGGGTGCTGGTCTCCATCCAGCCTCCCTCTGTGTGGGGAGCATCAGACTCCCACAAAAGCTCCAGACACTACCCAGCCCAGGCTGGCCTTCATGCCGCTGCTCTTGCTATTTTTGTTGTTGTTGTTAAGTCCTCAGACCTTTGAGACCAAAGGCACCTTCTCTCCTTCCCAATCCCTTTGTTCAAGGCTGAGGCAGGCCCTCAGAAAGCATCAGCCCAGTGAGAAGCATGGACTACTACCCCTAAATCAGACCTTCTCTTCTTTCCCCAGGGTCTGGGCTTCAGCATCGTTGGGGGAAAAGACAGCATTTATGGCCCCATTGGGATTTACGTCAAAACCATTTTTGCAGGGGGAGCAGCAGCAGCCGATGGAAGGCTACAGGAAGGTAGGCTTCCCAGCCCTTTTCAGACCATGGTGGAGGAAACAGAAGCAGAATCCAGAATTGCTGGGGCCATAGAAGATGTTGGGAAAGCAAAATGTGTCTTGAGCTGTCAGGACACGGCCGGCATGGATTCTGGGGTCTGCGGGCAGTGGGGACACAGCTCCCCCGAGGGGCTCTTCATTATGACTGGCAGGTTGGTTGTGTATGTTTGCACATGTTACCTGGTACCGTTACCCCTTAGCTGGTTGTGGTGCTAGCCTGGGTGGGACTGAAGTCTGAGGGGTCTGTTTCTGACCCTCCCCTCCTCTCACCCATTCTCTCAGCTGTCTTTCCTTTTCCATCCAAGATCCTGTCTCAGTTGTTGGGATCCGTTAACACCCCCTCTCCTTCATTCTTCCTGTCCTTCCTAACCCACAACCATAGGGAAACCAGGTTCAATGCTTTCAACCCTTGTAACAGATGAGTCTGATAAACATTCACTAGGAGCCTACTGAATTCTAGGGTCTAGGAATAGAGAGAGAAACAATCAGGCATGATTCCTGCTTTGAAGAGCTCATAATCTGCCAGCCAGGGACCCTCTCTTCCACTCCCCACCCACCCTTCTCCCATTGACTCACCCCCTCTCAACTATTTCATATCCTCACAGTACAGAAGCCTCAGCCATCCTGGGAGTGAGGGGCCAGGGAAACAGCTGCCCGTCTTCTTGTCCTAGAGAGTCAGGTTCCCCCCCACCCCCAACTCCACCCTAAAGTCATGCATCGATTATTGAGCAACAGGTTTGGCCCAAAGAGATTGCCAGGTTTCAACTCAGGAGGCAAAGTTCAGGGGCTGGAAGTCACAGGGCAGAGAGTACCCACTGCAGGCCAAGGACTGGGTCATACACCAGAGGTCTGAAGAGAAGTAACTTCACAGCATTTTCACTCTTCTCTGTCAGTTCGGTTTCTGTAAGCTATGCTGGGAGCCTAACCACCTTTAATCATCTAACTTGCTTAGGGCAGAGTAGGCACACTACAGTCTGTGGGCCAAATCTGGCCCACCCACTGTTTTCAATATCTCATGAACAAAGAAAGGTTTTTACATTTCTAAATGGTTGAACATTTAAAAGTGTTTTTGATTCTTTCATGATATGTGAAAATGAAACAAAATGAAATCCAAATTTTAGTATCCATAAAAAAGCTTTCTGGGGACTCAAGCATACTCATCCACATACCCGTCATCCAGGGCTGCCTTCATGTTACAGCATAGTGTGGAGTGGTTGCAGCTCACAAAGATTAAAACCTTTACTATCAGGGTCTTTGCAGAAAAAGTTTACCAACCCCAGCACTATGCAGAATTACACACACAGATTTTAGGGTGTGGGCAATGGGGAGCCTCTGAAGGCTTTTATACTATGGGAGGGACTGTGACCAGGGTTTTCAGAGGCTTCAGGAAGCAGAATGTAGGATGAAGTGGGCCATTGTGAGCCCCAGGCTCCAGCTCCAAGGACTGCCCAGAGGCAGTAACCCCGGGAGGAGAAGGGAGCAGATGAGAGAAGTGACAGCGCCTGAGCAGAGGTCGCAAAGGGCGGGTCAGGTCAGAGAGAACTGGAAGGTTTCTGGTCTTAGTAAACTAGAGAAAGACATTGCCTTACCTAGAGGAAGAGGCACTGGAGGAGGAGGAGGAAAAGGAAGGCAAACCAGATGTGTAGGTTTGAGTGGCAGAAGGGAGAGCGATGTCCCTGGATGACCACGAGGTGGCGCTGTCCAGCAGGGGAATGACATCCGTTCTCTCTCCGTTCAGGAAGACAGAAGTGAATGCAGACGTTTGGGAAACATGGACATGAGAAAAACAGCTGAAGTTACCGAGCAGATGTAGGGGGGCGAGAAGAGGGGAGGGCAGGGCCCAGATGCAGTTCTAGGGGAATAGCTAAATCAAGAGGGTGGTGGAGAGCAAATGTCAAAGAAAGGAATAAAGAACAGTAGGATCAGAACTGGGAGAGTGTGCCATTGTGTGTTTTATTATCTTTTGTACTTTTCTGTGTTTAAACAAAGGGTGGGGGAAGGGTTGAAGTGGCAAGAAAAGAGAATATTGTGTTTTGCTTTCTTTCCTGAATGTGAGCTTGCCTGAGCCAACCTTTTTATTTTTTTCTGAGCATTTGCCTCCCTTAGTTAACAGCAATCACAAAAATTGAAGATTTCAATGAGTCAAACTCTCAGCTAGTGTATGATCCCTGATTCTAGCCTCAAACATTGAACAAATCATCTTTTGTAACTTCTTTTAAAAGTAAATATTTGAATCTTGAATTCAGGGCAAATACATTAATTTTAACAAAAGTTTTGTGTACAGATCAAGGCTACTAATGTTTTACTTTTATTCCCCTTCCAAGAAACCACTGTGTAAGATTTATTTGGCAAAACCTAATCAACCAGCTTTTACCAGATATAGCCAAATAAGGAGAGGACATTCCAAAAAGCCCAGAGTTGGGCTGTGTGGCCCCAGTAAGAGGGACATTCTAATAACTTAAAGAGAAGTCCAGCCACTTAGGTAATTAAGAATGGACATCCTGAATTTTTGTTGTCTATCCTTCCTTCAGCACACATGTAATTATATTTTGATGTTTTAAATGTATCTATTTTCCTTCCCAGACTTGGAGTCTCACAATGACAAGGACTGGTTCCTTTTATTTTTCACTTTGGCTCCAGCAATCTAAGAGATGGAACTAATTTGAATACTCTCCCCACCCTGCCTCCAGCCTCTGTTTCCAATACGTAGACTTGTGAAATAATATAGCACATCCAAAATCAAAATAAAGACATGGAAATGCCCAGCTGCTAAGAAACAAAGAAACAACTTTAAATCTAAGAATGGCAAACTCAGGGGTTGATGATGTGGCTGGGAGGGCTGCTGGATGCTTATAGACCTTAAAGGCTGGAGCTCAGATTTGAATGCCCACATGGGCAGAGGGGACAGAGCCTTGGGTCCATGTGAGGCTCTGAGAACCTGCATACAGCCTTGATAATGAAAGAGTTTCCCCTCAATAAAGCTAACAGGCCCCAGGGGAGCAACAAGGAAACTTAAGTTTACCCATGGCTCCTCAATGGGCAAAAAACATCTCTCACCAAAAAGTGAATATCACAATTGTGTCATATATAGGCATGCGGGTTACATTTATAGTTCCTGTAAAGCAAAAGTAATGCCAATGTAAGAAATTAACTTGAAAACTACTCCTAAACCAGTGAAAACCTTGGGGTACCAAATGGAAATAAAGGAAAAACTGGCAGTGACCTGGGGTATATGGGAATCCCATAGAAAAACAGAATGTCCTGAAAATGAGTTTATAAAGATTACATACTATAATACCTCAGGAAATGTCCACTGTTGAGGAAAGTCAGCAGAAGTAACAAAGAGGAGTGTTAGCCCTTAACAACTTAAGATTACAGAACAATCTAAAAGAGACTATAGAATATCTATATTTAAAATCATTTTTAAAAGATAAAAAAGGAATATAAACTGTAAGATAAGACCAGAACACAGTAAAAAAGATAAGTGGAAGTGAAAAAAATAACTTTTGGAAATGAGCAAAAAAAGCAATTATTTCAATAAATAACTCAATGGATGGCTTAAACAGAAGATTAGATGCAGCTGTAAGGTGAATTAGTGAACTGGAAATTATCCAGTAGGCCACACAGATCAAAGAAGAAAAAGATGAGCACTAAAGAAATATGGAGAATGGGTTGAAAGGGTCCAAAATACATTTAATAGGAATTTTAGAAAGAATAGAGTGAAAGGGGAGAGATAATATGCAAAACGATAGTGGCTTATAATTTTCAAGAATTGACTTAAGGCATGATATTTCTGCTTGAGGAAACACAAAATGTTTCCTTTCTCTCTAGCGCATCATAGTAAAACTGCAGAATATCAAAGACAAAGGAAAAAGAAATCTTTCTTTCTCTCTTTTTTTTTTTTTGAGACAGGATCTCACCCTGTAGCCCAAGCTGGAGTGCAGTGGTGCAATCACAGCTCACTGCAGCCTTGATCTCCCAGGCTCAAGTGATTCCCCCACCTCAGCCTCTGAAGTAGCTGGGACAACAGGTGCATGCCACCACATTCAGCTAATTTTTGTACGTTTTGTAGAGACAGGGTTTTGCCATGTTGCCTGGGGTGCCCCCATCTCAGCCTCACAAAGTGCTGGGATTACAGGTGTGAGCCACAGTGCCTGGCTAGAAAAAGAAACCTTAAAAGAAACCAGAGAAAAAGGATGGATTATATACAATGGAACCATGATTAGGTAACAACAGATTCATCAGTAATGACCAGGCCCAGAAGTCAGTGTAAACATAGTATTTATATCTGAGTTGCTTGGCACAATTCAGAGAAAGTGCTCCTTGTTTGTGTATTGAACAAATTGAAAGAAAGGAAGAAAGTGGTTTTCTATTCACATAGAGATGGATTTTTGGTTACAGGAAGAATGTTTCTCCTACAAGTATACTGTTGTGAAAAAAGGACTTGCAGTCAAAAGATCCAAGCCCTTTTTTTTTTTTTTTTTTTTTTTTTTTTTTTTTTTTTTTTTTTTTAACCATGTGATTTGGGACTTCTCTGAGTTCACTTTTCTATATTGTAAAATGGGGTCTTCATTGCATTCTGGAAAATCATATCCAAACCACATCCACTGAGCAATCTGTACTCCTCATCCAGCATTGGTCCTGGGGATATATCATCTAATAAGACAAAATCCCTGTCCCCAACAAGCTGCCAGCCTGGCCAGGGAGTGACTTAGGGTGCAGGCCGTTGATCACCACCCAGGGTGACAAGTGCAGTAGGTACAGTGTGACATGAATGTACAAAGGAGCTAAAGGTAGCAGGGCCTAAAGATTAAGAAGGAATAGGAGGAGAAAGTAGAAGTACATTTTATTTGAGAAAATGGCATGGACAAGCATTTAACTGCACAGACCATTGTGGAAAATGCAGGTCGCGTTGCATCAGAAAATGCTGCATGGGAGCAAATGGTGTGAGGGTCAGGGAGGCAAGGAGGAAGGAGATGAAGCAAAGAGGTGGGCAAGGACCATATCCAACCAGGATTTGTGTGCCTGGCTAAGAGCCCTAGGTTTCACCCTGGAAGAGAGGGGGTGCCAGAGAAGGCCCATGTTGCTGCCCTGCCTGCCTCACAAGGGGAGAGCACCAAATGAGACAATGTTCTTCCAGAGCTTCGTGCATCATACAAAGAGCTGGGCAGGTGGGGAGACTAGAGTTCAAGGTAATGATAATGCCCTTTGATTGGGCAACACTCTTCTTAGCTACACTTTCTCTCTCTCAACAGGTGATGAAATTCTGGAGCTCAATGGTGAATCAATGGCTGGACTAACACATCAGGATGCTTTGCAGAAATTCAAGGTGACCGTTTCTTATCAACACGTGACTAAACTCTGGGGCCTTCAGGCAAAGAAACCAAGCTCTCAGCGTCCAAACCTGCAAATTCAAACTGTGGGGCCCTTCACATGAGGCACCTCACTGATGTGGGTCTTGGCGCAGGGTTAAAAGAAGACCTGACTCGGAAACCATAGTGTGATCGGGATTGTTGTGGGGGATTTTAAAACCCTTTACTATTTATACAATTGTTTTAAAACACTCCATGTATTTATCATGGTATATTTACAAATCTGTTTTAAGTTTGTAAGATAATTGCTAAAAGATATTTTTATGTCTCCATCTAGTTAGTTCAATTCACGACTCTGTCTATCCATCCATTATCTATCTATCTGTCTATCTATCTGTGTCTATTCATCCATCTATCTATCATTCCATCTGTCTATCTATTCATCCATCTATCTATCCATCCATCTCTTCATCCATCTATCTATCCTTCCATCTATCTATCTATTCATCCATCTATCTATCCATCCATCCACTCATCCATCTATCTATCCTTCCATCTGTCTATCTGTTCATCCATCTATCCTTCCATCTATTCATCCTTCCATCTATCTATTCATCCATCTATCTATCCATCTGTCTATTCATCCATCTGTCTATCCTTCCATCTATCTATTCATCCATCTATCTATCCATCCATCTACTCATCCATCCATCTATCCTTCCATCTGTCTATCTATTCATCCATCTATCTATCCATCCATCTATTCATCCATCTATCTATCCTTCCATCTATCTATCTATTCATCCATCTATCTATCCATCCATCTATTATCTATCTATCTATCTATCTATCTATCTATATCTATTCATCTATCTATCTATCCATCCATCTATTCATCCATCTATCCTTCCATCTATCTATTCATCCATCTATCTGTCTTTCCATCTATCTATCCATCCATCTATCCATCCATCTATTCATTCATCTATCTATCTATTCATCCATCTATCTATCCATCCATCTATTCATCCATCTATCTATCCTTCCATCTATCTATTATCTATTTATCTATCTATCTATCTATATCTATTCATCCATCTATCCATCCATCTATTATCTATCTATCTCTATTCATCCATCTATCTATCCATCCATCTATCTATCCTTCCATCTAGCTATCTATTTGTCCATCTATCTATCCTTACATCTATCTATTCATCCATATATCTGGCATATGTAGATATATGTAGTAGTTGTGTGTATATATACAAATATGTCATAATTTAATTTGTAACATGTATGAATACGTGCACACATTTATATTTCATACACATACACACACACACAGAGCTGCATTTTCTTAAACAGTATTTCTTCATCTCACCCTGCATTGCTGCTGGATGTTGTAGCCCTCTCTCTTTCCTTTCAGCAAGCCAAAAAGGGGCTCCTCACCCTCACCGTGAGAACCCGCCTGATGGCACCCCCTTCCCTGTGCAGCCACCTGTCTCCCCCGCTGTGCCGCTCCCTGAGCTCCAGCACTTGTATCACCAAGGACAGCAGCTCCCTCGCCTTGGAAAGCCCCTCGGCTCCCATCAGCACTGCCAAGCCCAATTACAGAATCATGGTGGAGGTTTCTCTGCAGAAAGGTAAGAGTGCTGCAGCTGCATCCCCTGCCTGGGTCTCCCAGCACTGGCTGAGTCTCCCAGGCTTTCCTCACTTGGAATCAGTGCAGAGGCAGGGCAGAATGTTGTCTTTTAGCACATTTTATGGCCATTGCTTGGAGCCAGGTCTAGTCTTCTGTTTATAGAAGCTCAAGACATACCATTCGAACCTAGTCAATGTGTTCTGGGTCAGTGGTTTAAATAAAACAAAACAAAGCAAACAAAAACTCAAACACAAAAATACCGAGAGAGAGAGAGAGAGAGAAACAATGGGCCAGGAGTGGTAGCTCAGCAGTAAGTATGCTAAGACACCCTGGGCAGGCCACCTGCCTTTCTCTGGGCCTCTGTTTCCCTACCTGTGGCAGAAAATTGAGGTCCTTTCTACCTCTGACATTCAGGGACAGACAGCCATTCCCTTTGCCACCCCAGGTGGGCTGCTGACTCCAGAGGGCTTGGAGCCCTCTCTGCCTGAATGCAACCAAGCTGAGACCTGGAGGATAAAGAGGAGGCAGCGAGGCACAGAGTTGGCCGGCAGCACAGGGGCCAGCATGTCTTCTAGGAGCAGAATGAAGGCCAGCATGGCTGGAGCTAGTTGGGCAGAGTGAGAGCTGACATCAGGGTACTTGGCAGAGGCAGAGAGACCCTGTGGGGCTTTGCAGCTCGATTCTCTTCTAACTGGAGTTGGAAATCCTTTAAAGATTTCTAAGCAGGGGAGTGACACAGCTTATTCTTCAAAAAATGTCTAAAGGGTTCTCCTTGGAGAATGGCCCATAGTGTGACAAAAGTAGAGGCTTAGAAACCACTTGCAGCCATTTGGGTCAGAGCTTGGGAGTAGTGGACTTGGAGAGAAGAGGATGGGCTTGAGATAAATTGTCAAAGTGGAAGGGAAGCATACATAGTTAATTCCTTGCATACAGCTTTGCCTGATGGATGTCTTAGCTCTCCTGCTAGAACAGAAGCTCCCTGAGGCCTCAGACGCCTCTGTATGCCTGCAAGCCTGGCAGAATGCTTGGCATAAGGACTAAGGGCAGATAAGTCTGTGCTGGCATGATCCCAACAGCTGTATTCAGGGCTCCCTCAGTGCATTCGCTGAGTAGGCATAAAATGGGAAAGGCATGGCCTCGGAGTGGTGTTTCCACTGATCACTGGCATCAGAAACACCTTAGGGAGGATTTTTGTTTGCTCATTTTATATAATGCAGCTTCTTAGACTCTACCCCCAGAGATTTTGCTTCAACAGTGTTTGCTCAACAGGGTGAGGTGAGGCCAAGGGATCCACATTCTAAACAAGTATCTAATGCAATTTGGACGCCCATTAGACTGAAAAACTGCTCTAGTCAGGACACCTGGGCTGTAGGAAGGGCCCTGACTTTTATCAAATTCTTCATCCTTAAAATGGGATTGCCAACAATTGCCATGGCCTCCGTCATGGGACTGCTGGGAGAACCAGCATGAGAAGGTGAAAACTTTTGCCAAAGTGCTCTGTAAATCATACGTGTCGAAAGAAAACTGTAAAGGGCTTCCCCTACTCTGTGCTCACTCCATGTGGTCCTCCTTGCTGACAGCTCCTCATTTTCCAGGTGTTTCTATGTTGGTGAGCCCCAGGCCCTCCTCTCCCACACCCTGGGGGATCCCATCCAGTCCCACGGCCCTAACACCACCTACATGCAGCTATGTTCAAACTTTCAGCTTCCACCCTGCTTTCTCCTCTGGGTTCCGGCTTCATCTGTGCAAACATCTGCTCTACACGTCCCTGGGATAGTACCAGACATCCTGACAGCACCCCCTTCCCTGTGCAGCCAGAGGTAGCCATTCCTCACTTTCCAGCACATTGCACATGTCATTTGGGCAAAGCTGAACCCCCCAGTCTTACCCTCACAACCCCGGTCCTCCATAACCTTCCCTGCTTTGGTAAATCACATCACCATCCGCCCAGTTACTCAAGGCAAACAAATCTCCAAGTTATTTTGATTTTATCTGCTAAGTTTCTATACTTCATCCATCAGCAAGTCTATCTTCAAAATATATTCCATGGGCATCCATTTCTCTTCACTAGAGGTGAAGTCCAAGGCCACCACTGTCTCTCTCAACAGTGGCCTCTTAGCTGGTCTCCTTGCTTCCATTCTCCATGACCCATAGTTCTTTCCCTTCACAGTAGCCAGATGTGTTCATAAAAGTAGGAATGAGATCATGTCACTTCCTTGTTCACAGCTCTCCTATGGCATCCGCTCTCAGTAGAGGATAAACCCATTCACTGACATGCCCTTGTTGGCAAAGCCCCACTGAATCTGCACTTGATCGCTCTCTCACTGTCACGTGCTGCTCTCCCATGCAGGCTGTGTCCCCACCACACTGGCCTTTCTGGTCCTATGACATGGCATGCTTGCTTTTGCCCTTGGGTCTTTGCATTGGCTGTTTCTGCTTCTGAGATGCTCTGCCCCATCTCTTCACTCCTAACTCTTGTCACTTGCATTTTAGCCTAACTAGTGTCTCCTCTGAGGCCTGATGTAGCCATCCCTCACTTTCCAGCACATTCTGCATACACTTGCCATATAATACTTATCACTCTTAGATACTGTCCTCTCTTCTCATCTAGCGCCCTCCTTCCCTTCTTCCCTTCCTCCCTCCTTCCCTCCTTCCTTACTAGTCTTTCCCCACTATTCCTTGCCTGCCTTGGTCACTGTTCTGACCCTAGAGCAGTGCCTGCACACAGCGACTACTCCGTGAATACGGGTGGGATGAAAGCTGTAATAACCAGGGGTCCATGTCTGTGGCACCCAATTGACAGGTAGGCCCTCTGGGAAAGCTCAGTTCCGGTCTCCCCACCCTGTCCTGTTCTGCTTCCAGAGGCCGGTGTGGGCCTGGGCATTGGTCTATGCAGCGTTCCCTACTTCCAGTGCATCTCCGGCATTTTCGTCCACACGCTGTCACCAGGATCCGTGGCGCACCTGGATGGACGTCTCCGGTATGTCCTCACTTCTGTTTTTGAATATACCCCTGACTTACAACCAGGAAACAAATACCTTAGAATGTCAGGAGATTGATTTGGAGATGAGCTATAAAGAATGATCTTGTGGTGGAGGTCGGCTACTCTGCCCACCAGGACACCCCCTGTTGTGGGCACTGGCTAGGGAGGGGCAGGCTTCCTTCCTGGCCCTCAGGACACTCTTGGGAGATGCATTTGCAGTCTGGCTCACAGGGAGGGAGTGAGGCTTTGCACCCCAGCCCCTGTCCAGGCCACTGGGAGGATGGGTGCTGACTGAGCCCCCGGGGCTAGCAGGAGCCGGGTGGGCAGGGTCTTTGTTCTCAGCTCCCACAGCAGAGCCAGGTGTGGGTCCTGCCAGGACCAGACTGAGGTGGGGTGGCCTAAATACCACATCCCGCTGTGGCCAGCACACCCCTGACCCTGCACACATTTGTGACCCTGAGAAATCCCAGGGCGGGGCTGGGAGGCAGAGAACCTGGTGGGAATATCTGAGGCCATGCCCCGTGGGAGGGTTCAAGCCTGTGGCTGGACCTGGTGTCTGCTTATCTAATAAAGTCCCACAGGTGTCTCAAAAAAAAAAAAAGAAAAAAAAAAAAGAGAATGATCTGGGCATAGCTCAGAGCCATGTTCCTCAAAGTGTGGTCTGGACCAGCATAATCAGCATCAACTGGGAACTTATTAGAAATGTGGGATCTCGGACGCCCCACCTGGACCTGCTGAGCCAGGACCTGCATTCTAACAAAATCCCCATGAATGTGTATGCATGTTACAGCGGGTGCCTGTAGTCCCAGCTACTTGGGAGGCTGAGGCAGGAGAATGGCGTGAACCCAGGGGGCGGAGCTTGCAGTGAGCTGAGATTCCGGCCACTGCATTCCAGCTTGGGGGACAGAGCGAGACTCCGTCTCAAAAAAAAAAAAAAAAAAAAAAAAAAAAACATCGTCTCAGAGAACGCCAGTCCAACATAGAAAACACATTTAATTCAGATTTAACTAATATCGAATTTACAATGACATAAATAGGAGCTTTGATGAGGTGAATCTATGAATTCTATATAGAAATGGTGGCTTAATGACAAAAATATTAGTAAGCTGGGCACCATGGCTCACACCTATAATCCCAGCACTTTGGGAGGCCAAGGCAAGTGAATGGCCTGAGCTCAGGAGTTCAAGACCAACCTGGGCAACATGGCAAAACCCATCTCTACTAAACATACAAAAATTACCGAGTGTGGTGGCACATTCCTATAATCCCAGCTACTTGGGAGGCTGAGGCAGGAGGCTCACTTGAGCCAGGGAGGCTAAGGTTGCAGTAAGCCAAGATCGTGCCATTGCACTCCAGCCTGGGCAACAGAGCGAGACCTTGTCACACAAAAAAAAAAAAAAAAAAAAGGGAGAGAGAAAACATGAGTAGTAGAAATACAGGTTCTTTCTGGCATAAACAAAATATTTTTGGGTACTCCAGATATATTTTTTATAAATAATTTCTAAGAGAAGTTCAAATCTAAATTTTTTTTCAATAACTGATCTGAACTTGATTTAAAAATATATCCTATTTAATTTGTTACAATACTTTGCACTCTAACATTCATGTATAGTGCAAATCTTCTCTCACTGGTTTTGGGTTTTCCTAAATCAGGAGAGTTTTGCTATCCCTTTAAAGGGTTTCCTACAATTGCAGTGTATGGAAAGGCCATCCCTGCTTACGATGCTGTCTTGATGGAGCTTCTGAATTAGAAAAGGATTTGCTGTTATCTGCAGGAGGGTGGCAGGTGATTAGCTGAGCTGCTCTGCTGGTTCGTAGGACATAACTGCAGGCTCCATGTGGTTGTCCTGGTCCTAGTACCCTCAGACAGACAGTACCTCCTTCTCAGATCTGTAGTGGGATAGGGATTGTTCTGGAAGCTTCTGCTTTCCTTAGCATCTGGTGCTATATGACCATGGTCTTCAGTTACAGCAGTAAAAAGGAATACTCTCCCAGCAAGGGTGAAGGACGATGAACTCAGCAGAAGGAAGTCACAGAACACAGCAGGGGGCACACGGAAATCAGGCTCAGGAGGTTGGATTTCCAATCCTGGACCTGCTGATGAACAGCTAGGCCAGGGGTCTGCAAACTGGGGCCCATCATTGTTTTGGGGTTTTTTTTGTTTTTTGTTTTGTTTTTGGTTTTGGTGGTTGTTGTTTTAATAAAATTGTATTGGAACAAAGCCATGCTCATTTGTTTATGCCTCGTCTATGGCCACAGCTGTCATGCTATTAATATAACAGCAGAGTTGAGTAGTTTCATTACAGACAGTACGGCAAAGCATGCAACATCAAAAATCTCTGGCCCTTTGCAGAAAAAGTTTGTCAATTCCTGAGCAGACCTAGATCAGGGAAATCTATTCAACCTCTGCAGCTCAATTTCCCTATCTAGATCAGGAAGGGGACTGGATTATACAAATCCTCCATGTATCTACGTGACTCCATCTTTCCTACCTTTTTTTTTTAAGGTTTAGGTTGCTATTAACTCCCTTCCCACCTCACAACTAGAATGAATGCCATCACCTTTTCTCCTTATTTCTTTTTGCAAGAATCTCAACTGCTGTCCTGCTGAGTTATTTTTTCTCTACCTTATAGCACATATGGGATGTTAGGTCCGACATTCAACATCCTGTGTGTGCTATGTTAGATCCAATCCTTCCTCCTAACTAGTCTACTTATGGGAACACTGAGGCCCAAGGAGAGGATGTGGTGGATTAAATCCTGGTGAATTGGTTATTTAGTTGAATTGGCTAAACCATACCCTCAGTCTTTAATGGGCATAGTTAAATGTGAAAACAAGGAGGAAAGTTGCAGATGAACTTTTGTTAATATTGACCCACCATAAATATGAAACGTCTGCTGCTTTGTGGTTGTGCAGTAAGGGGGTGTGGGATATGCTACTTTGGTGTGCCCTGTTCTGAGTTTTGGTCTGGTGACTAGCAGGGTCTACTTATTCATGTGATTTTTAGATCTCATCAAACAGCCCAGCCAGGAGTGGGCCCCTGGGGCAGTGTTCAAATGTCTCATTGATTCACTTACTGATGGCTTCTTGTTGATGCTTGCACAGGTGTGGGGATGAGATTGTGGAAATCAGTGATTCCCCTGTGCACTGCCTGACGCTCAATGAAGTCTACACGATCCTGAGTCACTGTGATCCTGGTCCAGTCCCCATCATTGTTAGCCGACATCCAGACCCACAGGTAACACCCCCTGGGTTATCCTCTTCTTCTCAGGCTCACTCATTCAGCACCAAAATTGCAACAAGAAATAGATGAAAATAGAGATGTTGCTGGCTGGGTTTGTACCTGAATTCCCAAGAATCCCTTCCAAGTTTCTGTAGTTAGATTTGTCTGCAGCAGAGGTCCATTAAAGAACTCCTAGATATCAGAGGCAATTGACATTAACTTAGGGAAGCTCTTACAGCTGAGTTATAAGCTCTGGGGCAGGAAAATAGAGACCCAGGTTCCCAGCTAGTAGATGCAAGAGATTTATTCATTTATGCATCTAGTAGGTACCCACTGTGGGAATGTCTGGAGATAGGTACTGAAGATACAGAGACAAGTTCATAGCATGTAGTCCTGCCCTGCAGAAGCTCATAATATCAGTAAAGAGCCTGATATAGACATAATTGCAAAACAGAGATGGTAAGTCCTATGCGAATACAGGAATATAGCAGGGAATGGTTGATAAAGTAAAAAAATACCAGAGGTTAGTTTTCTCCAGGCAGAGAATATAAGGAAGATCATTCCAGGCAGTGGGAACACAAAGTTTAATGTTAGAGTCATGAAGGGGCCTGACATGAAGGAGAGGAGTGCGTTCTGTGGGGCTGGAATGTAGGGTACTAGGTAGGCGTGACTGAGAACAGAGGTTGGCAGGGCATTGGGGTTACACTGCAGAGGGCTTTCAACAGGCTACTAAAGAGTTTCCATTTTATTCTGCATAGTGAGGAGCTATGGGAGGTCTGTAGCTGTAGATGGAGCGTGTTCATATTTTAATTTTTTAACCTTTGATTGCACTGTAGAAGACAGGATAGAGTGGGTGGAGTGTGGGGTTTGTAAGAGGAAGGAAGCAGATGGTGAGAGACTGAACTACACAGCAGTCATAGGAAGAGAAAAATGAAGGGGCAATGTATTAGTCTGTTCTCACACTGTTGATAGAGACATACCTGAGACTGGGTAGTTTATAAAGGAAAAGAGGTTTAATGGACTCACAGTTCCATGTGGCTGGGGAGGTCTCACAATCACAGCAGAAGGTGAAAGGCATGTCTTACATGGTGGCAGGCAAGAGAGAATGAGAGCCAAGTGAAAGGGGAAACTCCTTATAAAATCATCAGCTCTTGTGAGACTTGTTCACTGTCATGAGAACAGAATGGGGGGAGCTGCCCCTATGACTCAATGATCTCCCACCAGGTCCCTCCCACAACATGTGGGAATTATGGGAGCTACAACTCAAGATGAGATTTGGGTGGGGACACAGAAAAATCGTATTAGGCAACATTAGGCAATGCTTGGGAAGACTCAACAAGAGCTGCTGGGCAAGTGGCTCTGGGGTAAGAGAGGGAGGAACCAAGGATATCTTGAATATTTTTAGATTGGAAGACTGAGCAGTGGTCTTCCACCAGAAGAGAGAAGAGGAGAAGGTAGCAGGTTTGGGAGGGAGAGAAGAGCATGATCTTAGTGTAGGACATAGTGAGGTGGAGGTACCATGGAGTGTTCAGGTAAAGATCCCCAGCAGGCAGGTTAGACTTAGGGCTGATAACAACTATAAGAGGGACCCAGGCTGGAGCTAGACTTGGGGGTTGAATCCCTGCTGCTGGTGAGAGCTCTGGGGAACCTGGAATAAACACCACCACTAATTATTTAATCCTAGTGTGTGCCAGGCATGTTTTCCAAAGATGTGACCCACACAACTGCATTTAGTTGTGCAGTCCCCTGAAATCAGTGTGATATTTCTCCCCCCCAAATCACAGATGAGGAAACTGAGGCTTAGAAAGGACAAATATGTTTCCCAATGGTAAAACTACTAAGTAAAGAAGCTAAGGTTTAAATCCAGCAAAGCCTGTGCTTTGAACTCACTGACTCCCAAACTCCCAGTGGCACTTGGACAGAGTGGAGTAATGAGGAAAATCAATATATAATGGTGTGATGGAATTCAAACTCAGCCCCATTCTATGGATTGCACACTGGGGCTAAACACACCAGAGACAAGCAAACTTCTTAACTAAGGCAAACAAATAATTGGCCTAAATCTCTGGACACTACAAGAAAAGAAAGAGGTCCCAATTAATTTATCATTTCCTCTTGCTGCTTTTAGGACTATGGCAGAAAATCAGTAGAGTAGGGGTCAGGTTGTGGGCAAATGCTGTGGCCCTGGGCTTAAGGAATGTGTATTCTCCCAGAGAGATGGGACACACACAGAGAGGCCACAGAGGTGAGGGCCTTGAGAGTGAGGGAGCTGGAGTTCCAGCTGCTCACATAAGGGAGCCAGGTCAGAAAGGACAGGTAAGGTTTAGAGCAGCAGAAAGGCAAAGGCACCACAGGCAGGGGAGATCCAGGGGCACAGGCATAGGGCAGAGAGAAGAGAGCCAAGCCCAGCAGTAGAATGCCTAGTATGTGTCCAGTCTGCTGCTTGCTTATGGTGACCTTGGGCAACTCATTTAATCTCCAAGAGCCTCTGGTTCCTCAACTCTGACAAAGGGGAGTGGTCTTTACCTTACAGGACTGTTGTGGATGGTAACTTTCCTCTATTAAGAGTTTACCATCTGCCAGGCATTGTGCCCAAGACTTTAAATGATTTATTTATTGTTGTTTATTGTGGTAAAATACACATAACATAAAATTTACCATCTTAATTTTTTTTGTTTGTTTGTTTTTTTGTTTGAGACGGAGTCTCGCTCTGTCGCCCAGGCTGGAGTGCAGTGGCTGGATCTCAGCTCACTGCAAGCTCCGCCTCCTGGGTTTACGCCATTCTCCTGCCTCAGCCTCCGGAGTAGCTGGGACTACAGGCGCCCGCCACCTCACCCGGCTAGTTTTTTGTATTTTTAGTAGAGACGGGGTTTCACCATGTTAGCCAGGATGGTCTCGATCTCCTGACCTCGTGATCCGCCCGTCTCGGCCTCCCAAAGTGCTGGGATTACAGGCTTGAGCCACCGCACCTGGCCATCTTAACAGTTTTTTAAGTGTACAGTTCAGTGGCATTAAGGACATTCTCATTGTTGTACAACCATAGCCACCATCCGTCTCCAGAACTCTTTCCATCTTTCAGAATTTAAACTCTACCCATTAAACAAGTCCCTCCGTTCTCCCACCCGCAAGTCCTGGGAACCACCATTTTACTTTCTGTCTTTGTGATTTTGACTACTCTATGTTCATCAAGGTGGAATCATATAAAATTGGTCCTTTTGTGTCTGGCTTATTTGACTTCGCATAATGTCCTCAAGGTTCATTTATGTTGTAGCATGTGCCAGAATTTCCTTCCTTTTTACGGTTGAATAATCTTCTAGTGTGTATATGTGTGTGCGTGCGTATGTGTGTGTATCACATGCTGTTTATCATCTGTTTGTGGGTACTTGCATTGTTTCCACCTTTTGACTGTTGTGAATAATGCTACAATGAACATGGAGTACAGATTCCTCTGAGATGTTGACTTCCCTTCTTTTGGGATATATACCCAGAAGTGGAATTGCTGGGTCATATGGTCATTCTATTTTTAAGTTTTTGAGGAGCCTTCAAACTATTTTCCACAGTGACTACACCATTTTACATTCTTATCAGCAGAGTCCCAGGGTCCCGATTACTCCATATCCTTGCCAATACTTTGTTCTTTTCATTTCTTTTTTGAGAAGGAGTCTCACTCTGTCACCCAGGCTTGAGTGCAGTGGCACAATCTTGGCTCACTGCACTGAGTTCAAGTGATTCTCCTGCCTCAGCTTCCTTAGTAGCTGGGATTGCAGGTGTGCACTAACACACTGGCTAATTTTTGTATTTTCAGTAGAGATGGGGTTTCTACCATGTTGGTCAGCCTGGTCTCGAACTCCTGACCTCAAGTGATCTGCCTGCCTCAGCCTCCCAAAGTGCTGGGATTAGAAGCATGAGCTACCATGCCCAGCCTCTTTTCTTTTTGTTGACAGTAGCCATCCTAATGTCCTAATGTGTGTGAGGTGGTAGCTTGGTGTGGTTGTGATTTGCATCACTGATCATTAGTGATGTTGAGCATTTTTTCACTTGCTTTTTGGCTGTTTGTATATGTTCTTTGAAGAAATATCTATTCAGGTTCTGTGCCCAGTTTTTAATCAGGTTGCTTTGTTGTTGTTGTTGCTGCTGAGTTGTAGGAGTTCTTTATATATTCTGCAACTCAACCATTTATCTGAAATATGATTTGCAAATATTTTCTCCAATTCTATAAGTTGCCCTTTTAATCTGTTGGTTATATCCTTTTGATGCACAGAAGTTTTTGATTTTTACGTAGTCCAATGTATCTACTTTTTTGTTTCCTGTACTTTCGATGTCAAATTATTTATTTTTTAAAAACCTGTCCTCATTTTGAAGTGGGTTTTATTACTGTTATTATTTTACAGAAGGAAGAAATGGAGGATTAGGAGGTTAAGTAACTTGTCTAGGTGTTCACACCTAGACAGTAGAGGAACTGGGACTAGAACATAAGCCTTTTTGACTCTAAGACTCATACTCTTGACTATTACTCCAAAGTGATAATAAACTGTGAGTCACAGCTCAGACAGTATAACAGTGATTGTGATGATTATGACATTGTTGATAATGATGATGTCATGACAGCATTGCCAAGACTGGACTAGCTCACAGAGATAACCCATGAAGTGGTAACTTTGCCTAGAATTTTCCAGCAAGTAGTGGGGAGAAGGGTGGAGAGTTGAGGGGGCCTCCTTGGGAACCCCTGCATTGATAGACTTTGGACTTTATCTAGAAGATACTGAGGAACCATTGACTTCCAGGGTATTTCTGGAAATGGAATTTGTCAGCTATTTGCAGAGTAAGTTGAAAGACAAAAATCCAGAATCCAGTGGCCCAGCTTGGGAGCTGGTCCAGGGCTGGAAGCCTGATGCAGGAGCTTCCACTGTTTGAGGAGATGATTGATATTTTCTAGGTCTCTGAACAGCAGCTCAAAGAAGCTGTGGCCCAGGCTGTGGAAAACACCAAGTTTGGAAAGGAGAGGCATCAGTGGAGTCTGGAAGGTAAGACAAATGGTGAACTTTGATGTAAAATATCTTTGCCTTCTTAGAAAGCTTAGGATTTATCCATTAACTCATCCTCTTTCCAAGGAATAGTAATAGCAGTTACCATAGACCAGTATAGTATGTAGACAGAGGCTGAAAACTAGCAGCCACCAGCTAAATTTAGCTTATATTTTTGCTTTGTTTGGAAGACACAAGATTTTAAAAGCATCTGAATTTAAATCGCTACAAATGTGCCAGGCTCTCTCCAGCTTCCCTATGGTCCCCACCATTCCCTTTATCCTGTACCAAGTTGCCATTCACACAATAGCCTCATAGGCATTTGAGTTTGCAGCCCCTAGTCTATAATAATAGAATATTGGAAAAATTAACATTTGGGAATATAATTCTGACATTTATTGAATATTTGTAATGTCAGAGACTGTGCTAATTCATGCATTCACACATAATTTTTATGCACATTTTGTAAGAAAAAGGGAGGTCCTCAGAGACTCTCTTACTCAAAGTCATACCACTAGAGTGCAGAGGCTTTGGAATGGAAATCCAGCTGGCTTGACTCCCATGCTTAGCCATTGGGCATTAATCACGTCTACCATGGAACATCCTTGTGACAGAACAACATGCAACCATTGGCACTGATATTGATAAGAAATTAAATGATCTGGGAAAATGTTCAGAGAAAAGAGCAGAACACAACATTTCATTTCAGCTCTGGTCTATTATTTCTACCCACCCAACATGCATATATGCTCAGAAAAGCATGACAGAGAAACTCACCAAAATTTTGACAGTAGTTATTTCTGGCTGATAGGAACACAGGTGAAGTGAATTTTTACTTTCATTCCTTCCTCCTCGTGCCTGAGTTTTCTCCAAGGAGGATGCATTATTTCATGACCAGGAAAAAAAAAAAAAAAAAAAAAGGAAACTTTTTATTTAAAGAGAAAGTGAGTTAGGAGCTTGACTGGCCTTGGTTCTCTCTCATGGGGCTCCTCTGGCTTTCCTAGTCTCTCAGAATAAGCTGGAATTTAAGCAAGGGACTAGATTTCAATCCTCTCCCACCCCCTCAAGCTGTGATTTTAGGAAAGGGGCACCCTTGACAGCTTACCACTAGAGAGAAGGGCCTCTCAAGGATATGTGGGTAGCCCTAGTGCTGGAAACCAGGGTAGGGGGTACTGAGAACCAGGAAGAAGGGCTAATGGGGAGGGAGGGAGGAAGGTGCAATGGCTAAGAAATAGTGGCTTTCTGCCCTCACCTCACCCTCAACTGGAAAGAAATGGTGACTTCTTCGTGTCAGATTCAAAGTGCCTTGACAGGTAGTTTCTCTGTCTTTGTTATTGAGCCTCAAAATAACCCCAGTGACTTTAAAATTATCATCCTCATTTTACAGATGCAGAAATGGAGTTGGGTCCCCCAGGAAGCCGACTCTAAGATGGAGTTTGGTCTGCAGCGTGTTTATTAGGAAGTGTCCTGGGGATCACTACCTGTGGCAGGGTGGGGAGCAGGCAGGGTAGACAGAGGGAGGATGGAGCTGAGATGCACACCCAACAGCTTCAGCCAAGCCCTGGAACTCTGCAACTAAAGTCCACATTAGAGTTGTCCCGAGTTTACCAGCATAGCTGGACCCTGTAACCCAGCTCCAGCAGTCCCTGGAGATGGGCTGCCCCCTTGGACAAGGCAGCTGTCCGCAGCTATGGCAGCCCCTGGAGGGACCCACAGTTGAAAGTAGTCTGCCAGCAGCACTCCCCACAGCTGGAACATCAAGCCCTTCCTCAGTGGGTGATCTGGGTGGCATATCTCCATATCCATCACTCACAGGCTCAGAAAGCTTGAACGATTTTCCCAACCCAAAGTCATACAGCTCGCCGGGGACCAACACCAAGACTGCCACACTCCAGATCCAGAGTGGCGCAGATCAGAAGCAGATGGCTGGTGTGCAGCGTGCTGCCCGCAGCAGTCGCAGGCGAGGCCAGGGGGTGCTTTTGTTTTCTGAAGCTCAGCTATGAAGATTCCCTTGTGCTTCCCACACAGGTGTCAAAAGGCTGGAAAGCAGTTGGCACGGGCGGCCCACCTTGGAGAAGGAACGAGAGAAGAACTCAGCACCCCCGCATCGCAGGGCTCAGAAGATCATGATCCGCTCCAGCAGTGACAGCAGCTACATGTCTGGGTCCCCAGGAGGAAGTCCTGGGAGTGGCAGCACTGGGAAGCCATCCTCTGACGTGGACATCAGCACACACAGCCCCAGCCTGCCCCTGGCAAGGGAGCCAGTGGTGCTTTCTATAGCATCCTCCAGGCTGCCCCAGGAGAGCCCGCCTGTCCCAGAGAGCCAGGACAGCCACCCACCACTGAGACTGAAGAAACCCTTTGAGATATTGGTGAGAAAGCCTACATCCTCCAAGCCCAAGCCTCCACCCAGAAAATACTTTAAAAGTGACAGTGACCCTCAGAAGAGTCTGGAAGAGAGAGAGAAATCCTCATGCTCTTCTGGGCACACCCCACCCACCTGTGGCCAGGTAAGAGGATGGGTCCACAGGTTGACTGTTTCCAAGACCAGACTCAAATCTTGAGCATGGGCAAGTTAGTGTTAGCAGAGCCAGAATGAAAGTTTCTCTTGCTCCACCAGAAAGAAGCTGTTGCTTAGGACTCAGCTGAGGACTGACCATGGAAAGATGGGTTTGAAGGTTGACAGATAATTGAAGTCCCAGTCCTGTTTGCTGGCATTGGGGTTCCCACCCATAACACACTGGAATTTAAGGTTCCTTTCCTCTGTCAGTTTTCACTCACCATGAAGGAAAAACACCAGGGCCCCTGCAGGGCCACAGTCTTTGCCTGTGGATCTTTGAGTGTCCTGCTTGTAGGGAGAATAGTGGCTTAAATAACTAAAAAGGGGCCTGGCGCAGTGGCTCATGCCTGTAATCCCAGCACTTTGGGTGGCTGAGCTGGGTGGATCGTGAGCTCAGGAGTTCAAAACCAGCCTGGCCGAGATGGTGAAATCCTGTCTCTACTAACAATACAAAAATTAGCCGGGCATGGTAGTGGGTGCCTATAATCCCAGCTACTCGGGAGGCTGAGGCAGGGAATTGCTTAAACCCAGGAGGCGGAGGTTACAGTGAGCCAAGATTGCGCCACTGCGCTCCAGTCTGGGCGACAGAGCAAGACTCCATCTCAAAAAACAAAACAAAACAAAACAAAACAAAAGCAAAACAGAACAACAACAACAAAACAAAACAAACGAAAAACAACTAAAAAGGGACAAGAGTTGCTTACCCTGCTTCTTAAGTGAGTAGACTGATATGATTTTGAGAAACTGGCTCCTATTTCTTCCCCAGTTATCTTTGCCTCCTCACTTCCATAGGCATGGATCTTTGGGGAGACCCCACCAATCCGTTAATTGGGGCTGCATGTAGTGGCTCCTTCCAAGGGCTATTGTGAGGATTAAAGGTAACCACTTAAGGCAAGTACCTGAGAGCATCTCAGGCATATTAGCATTCATTGCCATGATCTTTCCCCATCAGGCCCCTGAAAGCCCTCCTTCCCGCCCCTTGCATAAAAGGCAGGCTGACTGACAGGCAGCTGCTATGTCTTGAGCCATTTTTATGCACAGGCTAATTACACTGAGTACTTTCGTGTACATTGTGTCAATTAAATCTTACCACGACCTGATGGTGAGAGTCCCAATTGTACAAAGAGGGAACTGAGAAACTCTCTCAAGTTCACATCACTAGTGGGTCACGGTTACCGACTATACCACGCTGAGTTTTCCATCCTTACCCAGAAGCTGCCTCCCCCATGGCGTAATGGCCCTGCAGGGGCCCTGGCCCTTCCCATAAGCACAATGTAGGGAGGTAGGAAGGGGCCTCTGGAAATCCTCTAAAACAATCTACAGTGAGGGTTGGCTAGCTTCAGGAGGGGTAGCGGTGGAGTCTGGATATTGAGTAGGAGGGGTGAAAGTGAAGGAGGGAGGAGGAAGCCAGGTTACTAAAAAGGAAGTGCAGTTTTGCAGAGTGCTGGCAGGATGTGGCTGGTTAGCAACACATGATGGAGTTCTCAGATGGATCTGTTCTCCCACCCCCCTCTTTTAAGCCCATATTTCATTTTCCCTTGGGCCTGAGACCTACGAGTCCAGAAGGGCAAATCAGGAGCAACCAGTTGAGAAGTCAGTCATTTTGCCTTCCTCCTGGAGGCCCAGAAAAGGAGGAGTGCAGTTGCCACAGCAGGTCTGTCCCAGTGATGCCCTCGGCAGAGCCACATAGGGTACGGAAATATTCCCAAGTAAGGTGCTGGAGAAGGAACTGGGGTGTCCTCAGGGAAGCCCAGGCAGGGAACTTCCCCACAGGTCATCTTTCATGCTCTGTGTGCCTGGGCAGAATACAGGGCTCCCTCCTGTACCCACCCCCAACAGCACAGTCTCCTGGAGACAAAGGCCATTCTGCAGCTGCCCTCCTCTGTCTGCTCTGCTCTGTCCCACGTGGCCAGCAGATCCTTCTCCCACAAACATTTCCATAAACGCAATTAGCCTGACATACTTTTATTGGGCACTCAGGGGTCACAGAGAAAGGATCATGGCACGCAATAGAAAACAGGAAGCAATTTGCTTGAGGTCACTCTCAAACTTCCCTTGACCGTTCCTGGGGATTTCTCACTGGATGTTTTCTTCCGTGGCCACAGTGTCCACTGTCTCACCACCCCCACCTTCCCTCCCTGCAGTCTTTTCTCTACAGGGTCCCAAGACTGTTGTCAAGCTGCTATGAATGACCCCCAAATCTTTCCCATCTACTCTAATTCAAGGGGAGTTAACTCTCACAAGCAATATGAACTTTGGGATATTTTCTTCAACAAAAAACTGACATCTCTCTTATAGAAAATCAGCTTAAACTCTCACCTGTGCTTAAAAAAACTTCCAACACACAACCAGATTTTCTAAGAATCCTCTCTCAGAAAACAAACAAAAAACCAAACAAAAACATACTTTCTCCCTTCTATGCTGAATCAACTCTCTCCCTCTTTCCTTCTTTCTCTTCTCCCTCCCTCATCCACCAAGCACAGTTCCAGGAAACACTAGTAAGAGAAAAATTTGTGTAAAATCAAATTTATTTCAGGGGCTAATTTTGAAGTCTCCCATGAAGAGGATGCAATATTGGATGTGTTGATGAAAAGACAAAACACGTTTGTGTCTGTTCCAAGATGTAAAGCTGCGTTGACTGCAGTTGGTATCACATGTGGCTGCCTGTAAAAGCACTAACAATTCATGAATGTCAGCAGATGTCAACTTACACAGCTCACAACCGGGTGAAATTAAATTTCATCCACATGTCATTTCTCTTGTGGACAAGAGTCTTAGAGATCATCAGACCAGTATTTTAAGCTTCTAATGCCATGACTCAGCCTTACTTTTTTAAGGGCTAGTTTGAGAAGCCCAATGATTCCTCTGAAATTAGTTGACCTCTCAATATTTCATAATGCTTTCCTACAGCTCAGTTCTACAGTAGGGAACTTGAGCTGAGGCAATGCTCTGTGAATACATTTCTAACTTTTGTAGACCTTTCCTTCCCCCAAAATGTTTATTGTCAATGTAGATCTTAAATTTCAGGCCATGGATATTTGCCATTTCTTTTTTAGTCCCAAAGGATGCATTTGTTCCTTCCTCCTTCCTTCCTTTCTGGAAGGAAGCCTGCAGCCATGTCAAATGGCCCATCATTACACAAATCTGGAATGAACCGGACGTGGAGACCACTGCAGTATAACACAGCATTTCTCTTGCAGACGATCAAATACAGATGGCATCATTTTGATGATGTCTGCCTTCTCAATCTTTTTTTCCAGATGGGTATTACATTTGGTTGGGCTATGTCTCTGGAGCCCTCTTCTTCTGCCTCTCCGCCTGGAAAATTCTTACTCTGTTTATGAAGCAGACAGAAAGCACTTCTCTAGGAAGCCTTCTTCACCTCTGGGATGGAACTGGTCTCTCTGTTTCCTCTGGGCCCTGACAGCACCTTAAGTACACTGTATGATAATCCAGATTCTTCAAGTATTGCATAGCTATTCAGAGCCTAGTCCATCTTGTCCCTAGACTGTTTCTGGAAGGACCCCAAGGCTGCATCCATGCTCAGTGGTGGAAACAATTCTGCAACAGATTGATGATGTGTCACCCTAGGTGCCACAGAGGGGAGCAATGGCACAGGTGCTGAGTATCTGTCATCTTTTGCAGAACACTTACTAAATATTTGAAGAGTGCTTAACAAGTGACAGCAATTGACAAGTATTTTTCTGAGTGCTCTAACCTTAGGGAACACTAGCTGCCAGGTTTTTTGCTGCCTTGTTTCTACACTGCCCTGTACCCTCCTGGGGTGGGTAGTTCACCAGGATGCAGTTGTAACTGAAGCAATGCTGGTCCCTCTACACTCAAAGCCTTTTGTTCCTATCATAAAGAGCCAGGGTCTTCACGTATGTCAACAGTATGAGCCCATGACCTGGACACCAGGTTGCTGGAAGTCAAGGGATGCTCTTCATGTCTAGGAGGTTCTGTCTCTGCCATGTCAGCACCAAGGAGGAAAAAAAAAAAACCTCTTTACATGGCTGCTGATGAACTTCTCATTGCAAGCAGCTCAATATCCGTTTTTCCATCCCAATCAAAGCGTGTCTCGCCTTCTCACAGCTTGAGGCTACCGTTTTGACACGGTCTCGCTTCCTGTTTACACCACAGGAAGCCAGAGAGCTGCTGCCACTGCTGCTACCACAGGAAGACACAGCAGGGAGAAGCCCTAGTGCCTCTGCCAGTTGCCCAGGACCTGGTATCTGCCCACAGACCAAGTCCTCCACAGAGGGTGAGCCAGGGCGGAGAAGAGCCAGCCCAGGTAAGCTTTCATTGAGATCTTCCAAAAGGGTCTTTTGAAAAAGGGTACAGGGATAAGATAAGAGCACAGACTGGCCTGAGGATCAGAGTGCTCTGCATTGATACCACCACTGGACCCGGCTGATCAATAGTCAAGGGTCCTGGGTGCTAGGCAGCAGCACCATGGAGGTGCTGTCCAGGGTGGGGAGCCTCCTGGGTGGACGGGTGATGCTGTGGGGGTGGCAGCAGGAATGTAGGCCATTCTGGATAATCGGGAGGATGGAGCCCTTGGAAGAGGTCCAAAGACACACCCACCCAGCCATCCTGGGCAGCTGCTTCTAGGATGCCAACATTCCAGATGCAACAGCCCTGCTGCATTCAGGATTTCTGAGTCAGAGAATGCAATACCAGAAAAGTATAAATAGCATTTACCAGTGGTCACCTCCTCCATGAAGTGGATAGCAAGGGTGTGTCCACATGGTACACCTGACAATGCTAAGACATGACTCAAATATGTATTTGCTTGCTAGAGAGAGCATAGGACTTGAAGTCAGGGAGTCCTGGATCTGTCTGTCATTAGCATGATTCTGAGCAACCTACTTTGCCTTTCTGAGCCCAGATTCACATGGGATGCATTCAGCAAGCGCACATTGAATGCTGGCTTCGTGAGGACCCGTGCTAGATGCTGGGGAGAGAGAGAAAGGGATGAGACCAGGTAGTCAGGTCCTGCCTCCAAGGAACAACTAGTAGTGGCAGGAAATAAACATATAGGCTATAAACCATGACTGTTTGAGAAACACTACAGCAAAAGTTCATGAAAGACTTTTGGAGGGCTAAGGGACATTTTGGAAAGATCTAGCACATCTCACCCAGAGCAGAGGACCTGTGGGTGGAGGCTCCTCTCCCTTAGTCACCCTAATTGAGGAACATACTAGTGAAAGCAAACGCCTCAGTGTTTAACTAATGGGAGGTTGTCACTCCAGTCTGCAAAGGGCTTGCCTGTGGAACCTGTGCCTCCTGATTCTCTCAACAGCCCCTTACAGCCAAGCCATTCAAAAATGCAGAAACAGGCTGGAGGCCTGGGCTCACTTGCCAAAGGCCAGTCTCTTAGATTGTGCAGAATTTCTCTTTGATATCATCAAGGTGTAATGCTCCATGATTCACTTCTTTTGAAACCTGGCATTGAGACAAGGGACAGGAGGGATCAGAGTTCCTTAAACTGGGTTGCATTCCAGTAGCAAGCATCCCCCAAAAGCACACAGGCCCAGCCTTCCTCTGCCCCTCAGAAAGAGAGCCGGGGCACAGTCTCCCTTACCCATGCAGATATGATGCTGGTTCAATGCTGGCTTCTAAGAAAGACTTCTATGTGCTCCAGGGCATGCCTGAGGTCCTGGCTGGCACAGAGCATTGCAATCCCCTGCTGATCACATTACCAACACCCAGGCTGCATCCCAGGTATCTTCAATCAGTACCGAGGGGTGGGTGTCAGTATTTTTCAGAGCTCTCCAGATTCCAGTGTGTAGCCAAGGTTGAGAATCCTACTTCACAGATTTCTTTCTACCTGGAACCTTTTCATCAGCTTTTGAGGGAGGGAAAACACTCCTTTGCCGAGCAAGCTGATCAATGACCTGTGTAGAGGGAGAGCAGCAAACACACGGCTTCAGGGCCAGGCAGGTACATACATGAGAAATGTTGGCTGGGTGAGAGGGAGCATGAAGAGCTCTGGGAAGCTGGAGGGCCCCATCGGCAGTTGTGCACGGGCACCTTGCTTTTTAACGACATGGGTAGGCCAAAGCACAAACAGCTGTCAACTCATGACCTTTGTCTTAAAAGTTTAAATGGCAAGAGAATTGCTTTGGCTTTTACACATTTAATACAGTATCTTGGAGGCTCCTTAGTGCAGTAGAAAGGACATGAACTTCAAAAGTCAGGAGGCATGGGGTCTTGCCCGAGCACTGCCATCAGATGGCCCCTTACCCTTCTTGAAATGTAAAATGCCAGAGATCGGCCCAGATATTCTCTGAGCACCCTTCTAGGCCTAAAACACTTACGATACTGTGAGATTAACTCCTACTTCTGGTTCTTCACTTCTGCCTTTTGGCAGCTCAGTCAGGTAATAGCACCTGGAGTTCACCCACCTGGGTGTCCCCCACTTCTGCTAGTCTCCTCCTCTTGAATACTTCTTGCTGTTCAGCTTGGAAACTAGAATTTAGGAAGAAAAGTCACAGTATGATGTAATGCACAGCTTTGGCCTTGTTTCTGCACTGTAGTGACCCAAACATCCCCGATAAAACACCCACTGCTTAAGAGGCAGGCTCGGATGGACTATAGCTTTGATACCACAGCCGAAGACCCTTGGGTTAGGATTTCCGACTGCATCAAAAACCTATTTAGCCCCATCATGAGTGAGAACCCTGGCCACATGCCTCTACAGCCCAATGCCAGCCTGAGTGAAGAAGATGGGACACAGGGCCACCCAGATGGGAACCCACCAAAGCTGGACACCGCCAATGGCACTCCCAAAGTTTACAAGTCAGCAGACAGGAGCATTGTGAAGAAGGGTCCTCCTGTGGCTCCCAAGCCAGCCTGGTTTCGCCAAAGCTTGAAAGGTTTGAGGAATCGTGCTTCAGACCCAAGAGGGCTCCCTGATCCTGCCTTGTCCACCCAGCCAGCACCTGCTTCCAGGGAGCACCTGGGACCACACATCCGGGCCTCCTCCTCCTCCTCCATCAAGCAGAGAATCAGCTCCTTTGAAACCTTTGGCTCCTCTCAACTGCCTGACAAAGGAGCCCAGAGACTGAGCCTCCAGCCCTCCTCTGGGGAGGCAGCAAAACCTCTTGGGAAGCATGAGGGAGGTCGGTTTTCTGGACTCTTGGGGCGAGGGGCTGCACCCACTCTTGTGCCCCAGCAGCCTGAGCAAGTGCTGCCCTCGGGGTCCCCTGCAGCCACGGAGGCCAGAGACCCAGGTGTGTCTGAGTCCCCTCCCCCAGGGCTGCAGCCCAATCAGAAAACTCTCCCCACTGGCTCGGACCCGCTTCTAAGGCTGCTGCCAACACAGACTGAGAAATCTCAAGGTCCAGTGCTCAAGATGCCAAGCCAGCGAGCACGGAGCTTCCCCCTGACCAGGTCCCAGTCCTGTGAGACGAAGTTACTTGATGAAAAGACCAGCAAACTCTACTCTATCAGCAGCCAAGTGTCATCGGCTGTCATGAAATCCTTGCTGTGCCTTCCGTCTTCACTCTCCTGTGCCCAGACTCCCTGCATCCCCAAGGAAGGGGCATCTCCAACATCATCATCCAATGAAGACTCAGCTGCAAATGGTTCTGCTGAAACGTCTGCCTCAGACACGGGGTTCTCGCTCAAGTGAGTTTCTACACCTGGTGTTTCTCTCTATCTTTCTCATCTTTTTCTTTCTCATCTTTATTTTTAAAAATAATTCTATATATCATTTAAAAAATTCTCAGATACACTGATTAAAGAATTGTTCTGCCTCTTTCTTTCCGTGTGTGTGTGCACAGATGTCTGAGTGTGTGTGTATGTGTGTGTGTCTGTCTGTAGGTATTACACCTCCGCCTTCCATATTAAGGAGGAGTTTTCACGACACCTGGCTTCAGGAAGGCTGGGAGGTAGGAGGTGGGACTGGCTCCCTGGTGCATTGCTCATGAGGGCTGATGCATACCTGTGGAGATTTGGAAGGTTGATGCACATCTGAAATGTCCTGCGGTTACTCAGAAAGACCAGAATGAGGCCAGATTATCCATTGGGAATTCTTACTGCTCTCCAAATGGAATCCACTTGTACTCTGCACGTGGGTTCAACTCCCTGGTCAGGGAGTTAGGATGTCTGGGTCCTAGTCTCAGCTCAGGCACTGAGTCTGACTACGAGCAGGTTCTTTCCATGCTCACCCTCAGATTCCTCATCAGCTCAAATTAGGAGATGAATGAGACCTTCTTTGCAGAACCAAGAGGATGTCAGGCATGCCATGGGGTTCCTGCTGTAGGGCTGGGGCTTGGTCTTCCCTCTGATCAAAGTAGCTCTGCATTTATTAATTTTATTTATTGTTCTTATGCTGCTGGGAAATATCTGTAGAGTGAAGGGATGCTAGTATCTACTCATAGATTTGTTGCATCAAATAATATGCACATAAATGCTTGGCACCACACCTGGGATAGACTAATTATACAATTACTGTTATCTCTTTTTAATAGGATTGTTCATACTGTGTGTTGTTTCTCCCTATGAAAGCCTTTCAGAGCTGAGAGAATATACAGAGGGTCTCACGGAAGCCAAGGAAGATGATGATGGGGACCACAGTTCCCATCAGTCTGGTCAGTCTGTTATCTCCCTGCTGAGCTCAGAAGAATTAAAACAACTCATCGAGGAGGTGAAGGTTCTGGATGAAGCAACATTAAAGGTAGGTTTCCTTTGTAAGCATCTGCAGTAACCAATGGCTTATTATGGCTATGTGGCCACCTTAGTTGGGCCAGAGGGGAAGTAGCTTGAGTAGCCTGCTGACATCAGACCCAGGTTGTGTCCTGTGATGGTTGGACATGGTAGCACTTGGCCACAGTAAGACTTTCCATTTGAAGAGAGCCTTTTAGCTTGTGAACTGCTTTCAAAAGAAGGGTTCAATGACTTCTTGCATCTTCTTTTGTCATTTTATAAATGAGAAAGGTAAGGCTCAATCAAGGTTACAAAACCTAGGTTTTCTGTCTCCAAGTTCAAGTTCAATGCTGTTTCCACAAACCATGGGCTGCTGTCCTGGCATGTGTCTGTTGTGGGATGCTGTATATTGTAAACAATGTGGGTCACAAGAGCTCTCACCTGGAGCTTTCATTATTTCCACTGTGCATGGAGAGGTGGCTGATCCCAGGGCTCACAAGGCCCCCATACTTCAGTCAAGTCATTCTGAGAGTCTCACTTCCCATATGTTTTCTGAGCATGACCCAAAGGGGTGTGGGGAGGAAGTGGCCAGGCTGAGCTGGGGCCAGCAGTCAGATGAGCTCGGGCTCGTAGGTCCTGCACCCTCTAGGTGCTGCCCCAGGTCTACGCAGGCTTTTGGCACTAGAATGATCCAGACTAGGATGAGAGGATAAGGAGGTTCTCGTTTTCCATACAAGGAGGCCTCATAGCTGCAATTTCCACATCAATAATGTGGGTGAGTCTGGTAAGCACAAGGTGCTGCTGTGCTGAGATTCTTTCTCTGTGGCTTTCACTCATCACCTGGGACCATCATCCCCCAGGACCTTACTCAGTGCAAATGAAATAACATGAAGAGCTGTTCTGCCTGAGCTGCTCTGGAGAGAGTATTTGCTTTCTAACCTGAGAAGAGCCTTCCACAAGGCAAGTAACCTGATACTTGGGTAAGAGTTGAGAGATTTGGGCTAGTGTTGGGGCTTGGAGGTGAGGGTGCAGTGAGGTACATTCATCCTTCCATGCTTTTGGGTCTTAGGGGCTCCAAGTCTTAGGATCATAGGGACAGCTACAAGTCAGGTGCTCTAGTGGCCCTGAGCAAGTGAATTCTTTGATATAAATTTACTCCTTAGTGCCAAGGTACAAACAGGTGGCCCAAGAGCCTGTAGGTGTATTTTGTTTGGTCTGCATGGTGATTAAAAAAATACTGAATTCTATATATGACAAAACCTGAATTGAAACCTGGACTTTTTTTAGGGAAGTGATCTGGTAGCGCTAGGTCTGTATTCCTATGTAGAGCTGACCCTTTGAGCAGATGTACTCCTTGGCTCTTTGCTGTCACTCACATCTGCCCATTTTGCTCATTTTAGGGACCTGCCTAATTCCTATAGGCATCTGAGTTTGAGACCCCTGCTCTAGACTGGAATAGGACTCTCTGACGATGTCCTGGCTCCATGTGAGTCCTAGTCTAGGCTAGGAAGTACTGTAGTAGTGTGAGTGTGTGTGTGTCACATTTGCACACTGTGCATTGGGGCAAGATGTTAGCTGGATTTCCTTAGTGCTGCTGCTGTGACCCATGGAGAAGTACAAGGGAAGAAGGAGCAACCAATTCCTGCAGAAGAGCATTGACCCCTGTTTTGTTTTTTTTTTACCTGAAGTCCTACAACCTGACTTCATCTCACACTGTCCAACATGCTATGATTTCTGACTGATTCATGGAACGCCCCCTGCCCGGGTGTGGATGGGGTGAATGAGAGAGGAAAATAATTATGCTTGCTGCTTTACATACATTTTTTTTCTTCTAAGCTTCCCATGACTCCTGAAGAGTCCATTCTTTACAGATGAGGAAACTGAGGTTTGAGGAGGTGATGTAACTTGGAGGCTGGCCAAGCTGGGGTTTGAGATAACAAATCAGTCTGATGTCAGTCTGATGTTAAACTGTTTATCCTCTTGCAGTAAAATTGTTTTTGAATGTATGTATTTCCTCCTGCAGCAACTAGACAGCATCCATGTCACCATCTTACACAAGGAGGAAGGTGCTGGTCTTGGGTTCAGCTTGGCAGGAGGAGCAGATCTAGAAAACAAGGTGATTACGGTGAGTGGTCAAGTGAACCTGAGGTTCCTCCTTTAATTAACTTTAATCTTTGTTGGCCTAAAAATCCTCTAGCATTGAGGAACCTGAGGTTCAGAGGGGAGGTTCTGCTTCATGCTTGGATCTTACAGCCTGGCGATTCTAACGATGTAACAGAATTTTTCTAACACCAACACAATTTAGAGAAGCAAAGAGCTTTGCTCCCATCATAAAAGCAAAACTACAGGTACCACATTTTAGTGATTTCCATGCATGCTATCACTCAGTCCTCTTAATTATTAATGGACCTCATTAAAGAGGCTGAGGCAGAGACATGAGATTTTTTTGTGTTTGTTTATCCCACATATCTTGCAGAAAGGGGACCAAGAAGTGATTGGAGGTAAAGAGTCAGAATTTCTAGGGGAGGAGCTATAAAAATGTCTAGACTGCCTATGAGAGTGTTTCTCAAAATGCATTCTGCCAAATGAGACCGACCATTTCTCTATGAGAAAAGAATTCTTTGTTGAAACATTTTGGGAGTCCCCATAATACCCTGCCAATACTTAGAAATCTGCCATGCAAATTTGCACTGTAGACCCCCTAATGCCTTTTGCTTTTTAAAAGTAGACATTTTCAGAGCTTTTGTTTAACCCAGTATTCCTCAAGTTTCTTTGATTTAAAAAAAAATTTTCTTGGCCGGGTGGCTGGCTCACACCTGTAATCCCAGCACTGTGGGGGGCCAAGGTGAGAGGACTGCTTGAGCCCAGGAGTTTGAGACCATCCTGGGCAACACTGGGAGACCCTGTCTCTATTTTTAAAAAAATTATAGGAAAAGCCCTTTTCTTACACAATAGCCATAAATATGTCATCGAATCAGTGTTTTGATAAAACTACTTTGGGGAATTCTGACCTACGGCAGGTGAGGCAAAAGATTTTAGTTGGACTCCCAACTAGAATTGTGCTGATACAGTTTAGGACGTTGTGTTGGGATAGATTCTGAGGGCTTACCTGGTCATTATTGCTGGTGATCTCTGCTCTGGATGGAGAAGGAGGGAATGCTGGCCTCTGTGCCAGCAGCTCCAATCTAGGACACAATTATCTTTAATCTTTGTTGGCCTAAAAATCCTCTAGCATTGACTAACTGGTTCAATCCTCCTCCAGCAAGTATGTGGACTTGACTTGAGTGATTTCTGACTTCCTTTGGTTTGCTCAGGTTCACAAAGTGTTTCCAAACGGGCTGGCCTCCCAGGAAGGGACTATTCAGAAGGGCAATGAGGTTCTTTCCATCAACGGCAAGTCTCTCAAGGGGACCACGCACAATGATGCCCTGGCCATTCTCCGCCAAGCTCGAGAGCCCAGGCAAGCTGTGATTGTCACAAGGAAGCTGACTGCAGAGTCCATGCCCGACCTCAACTCCACCACTGACTCTGCAGCCTCAGCCTCTGCAGCCAGTGATGTTTCTGTAGAATCCTGTAAGTTCTCCCAACTCCCACATGGGCCATATCCTCTTTGGCCATGTGTGGCCAGACCTGATGGGGCTACTCAGTAATTTGTGACCCCAAGAATGTGTGGCCTGCCTAGTATACTGTTTGAGATGTATGTCTGTGTTACATGTGCCTGTGTGCAAACATGGGGGCAGCATCACCCCGGGCTCACTTGATGCCCAGGGCATCTATGGCCTGGGAGAGGAGAGGATCCCTAACAGACACCTTGTGTTTTTCTTAGCAGCAGAGGCCACAGTCTACACGGTGACACTGGAGAAGATGTCTGCAGGGCTGGGCTTCAGCCTGGAAGGAGGGAAGGGCTCCCTGCATGGAGACAAGCCTCTCACCATTAACAGGATTTTCAAAGGTGTGGGGTGTGTCTGGTTCTTTGTGGGTTCTCCAGTTGTGGGCATGTGGCCAGGCCCCCAAAAGGCTTCTGGGCACTTTCTGGGCTATGTTGGTTTCCCACAACTCCATGTCCTCTTCATAGGCATGCTGGTCTTTTTAGGGCTGAATTCTGCTTTTTCTACTTTTTCTCCTTTGCTCTGACATCCCCTGAATCCCTGGTGTGTTTTGATGGGTCCTCATAAACACCTAAGTCCTGGGCTTGGTTTGGGTTGGCAGGGCCAGGACTCTAGAGTGAGGCAGTGGGGCACTGGCCTACGGTGCAAAATTTTAAAGGGGTGCCAAAATATGCAGTAACCCAGATCAATACTATTTTAATGCAGTGTGTTTTTTTAAAGTTAATTTTAGAAAAACATGTTGAACAAAATATCAAAGTTTAAATAAAGACAGTCTGACTTTGTACTGCACACTTGGCCTCATTTGCCTTACCCTAGAACTCGACACATCAGCTCCTGCCTTTATTTAAAATTTTGTTATTTGGTTCATCAGGGATTGGAGTACAAATCAGTCTGATATGGGGGTCACTTGGATTTCCCTGTGAAAATCATGAATGACTGTGGCAACCATGTAAAACCACCCCTGATTCTTTGGTGTTCCTCAAATTGGAGGTCTCCAAGCCACAGAGCAAGGGGTTGTAGAGAGAGGAGTACTGGAGAGGGAGGCAGGTGAGCCGGGTTCTAGTCCCAGCTCTGCCTGTAACATGCTGAGTGACCATTCCCTTCTGGGCCTGAGGCTCCTCATCCATAAAAGGAGGTAAAGAGGTACAGGTGTGTATCTGAGGGCTCTTAGGACTGAGACCCAAAGGGACTCTTAGCTCTGTCCCTCACCCACCATAAGCTCCTGTTGCCAACTGGTTTCATTACAGGAAGTTCTGCTGCAGCTGCAGAAACCCAGAAGGTACAGTGAGGCTTACATGGCATTCCCCCCAGAATCCATGTTAACCCCAATTCTGGGAAAGATATTTCTAATTTTTGAAGGTCAATTTAGAAAGAACATTGGGTTCAATGTCAAGAGGACTAGATTCTAGTGTTAGTTCTGCCCCATGACCTTAGTAGCATGACCTTGGACAAGTCACTTCACCACCATGGACCCATTTACTTAAATGTTTAGGATGAGACTGCCAGCTACAGCGTGATGTGGGAGGGGAGATGCAGATTCTGGAGCCAGAAAGTCTGGGTTCCAGCCCAGGGCCTACCACTAGCAGCTGTGAAGCTCTGGGCCAGTTACTTGAGTTCTTGGTTTCCTCAACTGTTAAAAGGAAACACAAATAATACATCCCTCATAGGATTACTGTCATAAATGCAAAACATTAGCACAATGCCTTTTAAAATAAGTGCCCAATACACTTTAGCTATGTTTTCATTACTATGATTAGTATTGTCTTCTACTCTTATTCAGGATTTGTGAAGACCACTGTGTCAAATGGATGGGAAATTATCTTTTAATATAAACAAGTAAAATAGCATTGTTTTCACATGCAGCTTTGAAATAGTGGGGGGCATATATGTTTGTTTCCTTTTTTACGTAGACACAGAGGACTTCATGCCACTCAGAGGCAAGATCCCTGTAAAGATTGTTGCACAAAAGTCTCACTAGCCCTCTTCCCATACCACCCATTGCTGATGTCCTCATCAGATGCGGAGAACAAATGTGAAGGGGATAGGATATTGGGTCAGTGTCCAAAGCAGGGTCTAGGCAGGACTCAGTTCCCCAGAGTCTTCTATGAACTATGGACGGTGCTCCAGCCAGGCTAAGGCGCGGAGCTGCCTGATGATTCCCTCCCCTGGAGACAGCATGGGCTATCCTTTTCCAAGGGCCATGGAGAGCTGCAGCCTGGTTCCCTAACCTCTGAGTCACCATCTTAAGAGATGCCTCATTGTAGAACCACCAACAAGCAAGCTCCCACGGGATGATGCCCCACTCTCTACCAAGCTATCCTGGCTCCCTGGAGATCAAGGAGAGGAGGCAACCTTTCTTGTTCCCCATCATCTGTGGAACCCATTATCTTCTCCCTTTCAGGAGCAGCCTCAGAACAAAGTGAGACAATCCAGCCTGGAGATGAAATCTTGCAGCTGGCTGGCACTGCCATGCAGGGCCTCACACGGTTTGAAGCCTGGAACATCATCAAGGCCCTGCCTGATGGACCTGTCACGACTGTAATTAGGAGGAAAAGCCTCCAGCCCAAGGAAACCACAGCTGCTGCAGACTCCTAGGCAGGACATGCTGAAGCCAAAGCCAGTAACACATAGCTCCTATAACTGCTGATTCTCAGGGTCTCTGCTGCCGCCCTACCCAGATGGGGGAAAGCACAGGTGGGCTTCCCAGTGGCTGCTGCCCGGGCCCAGACCTTCTAGGACACCACCCAGCAAAAGGGTTGTCCCTAAAGTAAGGGCAGAGTCACACTGGGGTAGCTGATACAAATTGTAGACCGTGTAAAAAGAGAGCTTAATGATAATATTGTGGTGCCACAAATAAAATGGATTGTGATTTCATATGAAATTCATGCCTGGCTTTGAAAAATGTTTCAAGTACTGTAACTGTGTCATGATTCACCCCCAGACAGTGACATTTGTTTTTCTCATGAATCTGCAATGTGGGCAGAGATTGGAATGGGCAGCTGATCTCTGTTTCACTTGGCGTCAGCTGAAGTCATGCAAAGGCTGGGACCATGTGAGATTACTCACTCATACATCTGGCCGTTGATGTTGGCTGTTGGCTGGGAACTCACCTGGGGCTGGTGGCCTGAATGCTTATAGGTGGCCTCTCCTTGTGGCCTGGGCCTCCTCACAACATGGTGTCTGGATTCCCAGGATGAGCATCTCAGGAGTGCAAGAGCCATGTAGAAGCTGCATCTTGTTTATACCTTTGCCTTGGATGTCGCATAGCACCACCTCCACTATACTCCATCAGTTAGAGCTGACACAAACCTGCCTAGGCTTAAGGGGAGAGGAAATATTGCTGGGGTCATTTATGAAATATACCATTTGTCACATGAAAGATTTGCAAAATTGTTTTTGTTTGGATTGGAGAAGTAATCCTAGGGAATGGTGGTGGAGCCAGTAAACAGAGGAGTCCAGGTGAAGCACCAAGCTCAAAGCGTGAACAGGTGTGCTGACAGAAGGAACCAGCATGTATATGAGGGTATCAAATAAAATTGCTACTACTTACCTACCACATGCCAAGCACTGTGCTCAGGGCTAAACGGACACTGCCTTTGGTGATCACAGCAGCTTCTACAGTGTATGGTTCTGTGCCAATGTATTGATATGAGGGCAAAAATGTACAGTAAATAGATTATCCAGCTGGTAAGTGATGCGGCAGATTGAGTCCTTCCTTCTGTGATTCGGTAGAGACTGTCAGCCCAAGATGCTTTAAGTGCACAACATTATAGGGAATATCTGAGTGCCTGGCCAAAGGGATATTTGGTCTGGTCATCTCTGGGTGCCTGATTGCCAAGCTAAGGACCAGGCAATGTGCCTTTGCATCAGCAACAACCAGCATCCCTTGACCAGGCCTGGGCCAGAGTATTGGCCTCTTCTCAGCCCCTGATCCTGTGAAGTAAGGATGTGGGGGAAGACCTGGCAAGGACAACAGATGGAACACAAAAAGTAGTAATTCTCAGGCCATCATCAGTGGAGCCATGTTAATGCAATCCGATGGCTTCTCTAGGGTCCACAGGAAGTGAAGAATCTGTTTCCCAGCAGTAGACTCAGAAAACCCAGCTGGGCTCCTAACCTTACTGTAAACCCCTTTAATGGCTTCATTAGAGCAGGCATTCAGCTCACTGTTCTATTCATCCCAAGGAATAATGGGTTTAGAGCAGTTTCCGTCCTGCTGGTTAACTTGTTTGGCCTTCTACTTGGCTACACAGGGCCGGACAAGGTGATCCCATCTTGGTTAGACCACCACCTCAGAGTATGGAGCTCAGAGGGGGCAGGCATGAAGTTTCCTTGGCTGGTGCACCTAGAATTGGCTGAGCTCATGAGAAGTTGATATAGAACAGTGCTTGCCACAGAGTGGGGACTCGGTAAGCACTTAATGAATGAATGAATTCTAAGTCAATCCAAGAGCCTGATGATTTCTTGAAAAGGGTGTTAGCTAAAAGATCTTAAGGCATGATTGTGGAATCTGTAGTTGCAATAGAACACACAAAGAGGAAGCTTTCTGCCCCCTTAACACTGAGCTGTCGTGTTTTAAAGCTTGCTCACATCTTGGCACATTTAAGAGACAGTCACCCCAGGACTCAAAAATAGGGAAGTAACAGTAACACAGGGGAAATGTTTTCTATTTGGAGGAGCAAAGGCTGAGAACACTGTGAAAACATCCTGCACGCGCAATAGTAACCTGGGTAAATGCAACGTGAAGGGATTTTAGTCAGACACATGCGGTCTTTCTTACAAGGAAGGTGGCGGGGGTGCAGATAAGGTTGCTAGAGAATGTTAGAGGATCCCTCTCTGGATCGGAGATAGGGAAAGAAACTTGCATGGCTGCTGCGGCCCCTTCCAGGTGGCAAGGCTGTGCTCACTGGTTCTGATGATGTGCCTGGGTGGACATGGCCCCTGTGGGTTTGTGCAGTCTTGCAGCAGGATCTGGAGGGGAGATTCCAGCCAGGGCTGCTAGAGGGAGGCATGCTCGTCTATCTCTCCTGATGGCAGGATGGCCTGGACAGGGCCTGGAAGACAGACACCTCCTGCCTCCACCTCAGTAAGAAGACAAGGAAAGGCAAATGCTCTGGGGAAAGAAAAAGAAGGTTCTTCTCCCCAGAGTTCCCCATGCAGACGTGAGTACATGCTCAGTTCAGAATCACTGCCAAGAACTCATCCCTAATGCTGCAGATTTGGGCTGGAACAGATTCACACTGCCTGGTTTCATTGAGGGCATGGAAGTCCACCACGAGGGGATAAAGAGAGAAAAACAAATTCATCAAATGGAAGATACATTGAAAGTGTTTTTCCTTAATGGTTATCCCATTTTTAAACCATTATTTTCCAAGTTGACACCTTTTTTAAGGAAAAAAACTCTTTTGTGGCAGTAAAGCCATATACAAGGTCTGTATCAGAAAAATACATTTGAGGGTCTGCAGCGCAGGACTGAGGGAGCTGTAGATGATTAAAAGGCAACAGGGCCTGGTTTTCAGTGGCGATGATGATTCTCTATGACAGTCAGGGAAACGCGGTCTCTGAGAGTGATGGGCACATAAAGGCTTGGGGCCAGAGTGCATCACACGGTGTCCAGCCCGAGTCCCTGTCAGATGGTTAGAGGCCTGGGTCTACCCTGCCAGGAGAGGCATGTTTGGGTAACAGGCAGATGGAGTTTAGAGCACATGAATGGCTCATCGCATGCCAACCCTGAGTGGGGCAGGAGGCAGGAAGGGTGGGCTGCCGCCTCTGGTTGGCATTCTCAGAGATGTGTAGTCCGTCAGCTTGTTCCAAAGAGTGAACACAGGCCTCCGCATGCTCCCGGGCTCCTTGGTATCCCAACAGCTGGAGCTCCTCGATGAGTCATGGGAGTTCTTTGCCAAGAAGTAATGATGGCATTACTCATGGAATTGCTTCACTGCTTTCTGAAGGTTGGCATAAAACCGGGTCATGCTGCGGGGGAAGAAGGAGTCCACCACGTTCTGTGGGAGGTAACCGCTGAGGTCGGTATGGAAGAATGTGACCAGGTTGGTCTTGGTGGGTTCCCTGTAAAGGCAACAGCAGAGCTGTGTTACGATCTACAGCAGAGATGCTGGGGATGAGCACCAGGCAGGTGAGCAGAGCCCAGCCCAGTGGAAATGGCCATGATACAGTGATTGCGTCTCATCCCTTGCTGTGCCCTCTACCCAGGGGTCCTCTCTGGACCTGCTCATTTTCAGGATGGAATCTCGTCCCGTCAGGGATGCATTCCACAGCCTCTCCAAGCCTCCAGGGAGGGAGAAGTCCCTACTCCCAGTCCAAAAAGGCAGTACCTTGCTGCCTGATTCACTCAGCAAATACTTTCGGAGAACTCACTTCGTGCCAGGCCCTGAGAGGAACGAAGAGATGCTGCCCTTCACTATTTAGGGTCTGCAACCTCCTGGGGGTTCCTGGGACCCTTTCAAGGGGTCTGCAACGTTAACAGTATTTTCATAACAACACTAACACGTGATTCGCCTTCTCTCACGTGCATATGGTGGAGTTTTCTATAGGTTCCATGATGTGTGATATTGCAACAGACTGCATGCAGAAGCAGGTATGAGCTTCTGTTAAGCTGACATGAAAGAGATGAGCAAAAATGTAAAAATGCCACTCTTTTCACGGTATTTTTTGTTTCTAAAAAAATACAGTTTTTAAAAATAAAGTTATTTAACATGTAGTGAATTTTTATGTTAAAATATTTTTAACATTTCTCAAATTTCCCAGTTACAATTTCAATACATCAAATAATGATAGCTATAACCTCCATGAACAAAGGCCCTATGAAGCCCTCAAATATATTTAAGGGTATAATAAAGCCTGATGCCAAAATTTTGAGAACCGCTATTTAGAGAACTGGCAAATAATTTGAGCACTTATGAAGGGATTTTGGCCGGGGAGGGGGGGGCAGAAGCTCAGAGGACGGCAGATGGCACAGATGCAGACTGGAAGTCCAGAATCAAAGGGGCACACAATGTGGAGACGGAACACAACTTGGTAGGGACATGAAGCAATCTTCACTGTGACAAACTTCTCAATGGCCAGGACAACAAAGGTAGTATGGGCTTTGTGGAGCTCATTTGGCATTTTATTTGAATGCAACTGTCCACAGCCTCAGCCTCACCAGGAACCCCAGGTAGCTCTATGCCTGCCCATGAGATGTTTCCTGACATCATGCAGGCTACAGGTTTGGAACTGGAGACCTTTTAGAATCCCACTCCTCAGGGCCAAGCACGGTGGCTCACACCTGTAATCCTAGCACTTTGGGAGGTCGAAGCGGTTGTATCACCTGAGGTCAGGAGTTCGAGACCAATCTGGACAACATGGTGAAACCCCATCTCTACTAAACATACACAAATTAGCCGGGCATGGTGGTGGGTGCCTGTAATCCCCGCTACTCGGGAGGCTGAGGCAGGAGAATCGCTTGAACCTGGGAGGTGGATGTTGCAGTGACCTGAGATTGCACCATTTTGCACTCCAGCCTGAGTGACAACAGCAAAACTCCATCTCAAAAAAAAAAAAAAAAAAAAATCTCACTCCCCAAGTCATATAGAAGGACGACGGGCCTGGAGCAGGATGGGGGCCAACAGATCCATAAGACGGGAGAGCATGTGCTCCTCTGCGCTGTGGCTTTTCTCCTCTGCTTGTGCCCTGCTTCCCCAAAGAGGGTGAACTCCAGGGGACAGGGACTTCCTTCCATATCAAAGCCTTAGCATCATCCACATTCCACCTTTCCCTCACCCACCAACCCCTGTCCATCCCGCCTTTGCTAGGGCCTTCTCTCTCATCCCTGCTCCTCCTCCCACTGGGCCTCCTCTGGCCCCCATCACCTCTCAGCAGCATCCTCTTTAGAAACATGAACAGGTGAGTGAGAAATGAGACTCCATGATCATGTCTCCCTCTGGGTGAGGACTGGGCTTTGTGGTGGGTGGAACATGGGAGAGGCCGTGTGGGATGGGACAAACTCTTCCTCACAGTGGCCTTGGTGAGTGGTAGCTCTTGTATGTACACCATTATGTGACAACAACAACAGAAAGGGCAACAGGGGGCACAGAGGAGTTGTGGGTCACCCAGTCTCCCCTCAGAAAAGGCTGGGATGAAGGCATCCACTATGGTTGCTAGAAGGATTTAATGAGAGTAGGCGTGAAGCACACTTAGCACCAGCAAGTGCTCCAGAAATGATACTGTAATGCTGCCTTGACCACAAATACAGGTTCCTCCACCTTGAGAACACATTTCCCCCATCCCCCACAGTCACTTGCAGCTCAACCACCACTACCTCTGGCCTCAACACCACCTCACCCCTGATGAGTCCTCTTGCCCTCTTGCTCACAGCCTCTT